CTGTTTGCAATACCTTGGGTTGTCTACTATTGCAAATGGTATGCCATCATAGGGGTAATTTTCATTCTTGGGCTACCATAGGGTCTCGAAGGCAACATAACCAATCTGGCGAATTTTAATGTGAAAAAACTGAAATGCAAGCCTTATATTTGACGCTGTAACTTTTGAAAACACCATAAAACCTGTACATGAGGGGTACTGTTGTACTCGGGAGACTTCGCTGAACACAAATATTTGTGTTTCAAAACAGTAAAAAGTATCACAGCAATAATATTGTCCGTGTAATGCTGTTTGTGAGTGAAAAATGCAAAAAACGTCACTTTTACTGGCGATATCATCGTTGTAATACATTTTACTGTTTTGAAACACTAATATTTGTGTTCAGCGAAGTCTCCCGAGTAGAACAGTACCCCCCATGTACAGGTTTTATGGTGTCTCGGAAAGTTATAGGGTTAAATATAGTGCTAGCAAATTAAATTCCCTTTACTTTCGGCATGGGTTGTCAGGCAGGTCCTGCTAATTGTAATTAATTAAGATACCTAATTATGTAAAAATATTACATAAATATATATGTAGAATTAATATATGTATATATATACGTATGTGTATATATATGTATATATCTATATAATTTTTAAATATTTTTATTTATATATAGGTATATATATAGTGATATATACGTATATATTTAGGTATATAGATATATATATTATTTCGTTCTACGTGTATTTTGATATATATATATATATATATTAATTTCACAAAACAGTTAGAACGAAATAACACACATCTATATATTTTTAATTATTTATTTTTAATTATTTTTTTAATTTTATTTTTTAACGTATTTACATTTTTATTTTTTTTATATTATATATAAATATATATGTAACAATAATTATATATATATTTAATCAGTATCAGTCTACGTGTAATTTGATATTAATATATATATATAATTATATATATATTAATAGTAAAATACACCTAGACGGTGTATGTGTGTGTATGTATATGTGTATATATATACTTAGATCATATATATATATATATATATATATGATCTAAGTATATATAATTATTTTTTTTTACACCATTAACTTATTTTTATTTTATTTTCAGCCAGCAGGGGGACCACCTGTCATTACAGGCAGCCCCCCTGCCGGCAATACAGAAGCCAGCTATCCCCGGCCATGTGATTGTGGGGTCCTCGCTAGGACCCCACTCTCACATGGCCGGGGGGCTTCAACGAGGACGGAGTGCCGCGGGGGGCTCCCTGGGAGTCCCCCCAACCGCGATCGCCGGCGTGGGACCGCCGGCGACCGGGTAAGTTAACAAAAACCGGAGGGCGTACAATTACGCCCGGCGGCGTTTAGAGCCGCCTATTAGAGGGCGTAATTGTACGTCCTCCGGTTTTAAGGGGTTAAAACTTAAGAAAAAGTAGGGACTATTTCCCTTATATGGAGGTTTCCTACGCGGTGACCAGCGGAGGAGCAAAGTGTGCTTCGTTTCCGGTGGTCACAGCAATTTTTCCACAATCCTTACCTTTCCTCCCTGTTCCCGTGATGCTTCCTTTCACTTAGACAGGACGCTGGCAAAACTACCGAATTGCGTTCTAACAGTTTCTCCATTCGTGTTAGAACTCAATTCGAGACTTTGTTCGTATCGGAATTTCATTCAAATGAATGAAACTCTGATCCTATTCATTGCATCTTGCAGCCGCTTAGTAGATAACTCCCTAATTCCCACAGTATTAGGGAGCTATCTACTAAAAGTCTGAAAGACCTAAATTGGTCTTTCAGCCACATTTACTAATACTAAGTAACGATTACTTATTATTAGTAAATTCAGCCACTACTCGCTATACCGCGATTAGGGGCATGTCAAGTAAACAGTGAGCAGCCAGTGGCTGCTCACTGTAAAAAAAAAAAAAAAGTCCTAGTACCTTAAAGGATAATGAGACCATGAGCGGGGGGGTAGACCTATTTTCTTCCCCCACTCGGCCCCCACCCCTGAGCGGTGGGTGGGGGCCATAATGGACAATGATGTCAGGGGTGGGGGCCATAAAGATAATGAGGGGGGCACCTACTGTCCTCCAACCCCGGCCCCTACCCCTGGGCGGTGGGGGGGGCCATAAAGATAATGAGGGGGGGACCTACTGTCCTCCCCGCGGCCCCCACCCCTGCGCAGTGGGTCATAAATTACAATGGGGGGACCTACTGTCCTCACCTCCCCGGCCCCCACCCTTGAGTGGTGGGTGGGGGCCATAAAGATAATAAGGGGGGGGGACCTACAGTCCTCCCACCCTTGAGAAGCGGGTGGGGGCCATAAAGATAATGAGGGGGGGGGACCTACTGTCCTCCCCTCACTGGCCCCCACCACTGCGCGGGAATGGGGGCCACAAATTACATTGGGGGGACCTACTGTCCTCCTCCCCGACCCCCACCCTTTAACGGTGGGTGGGGGCCATAAAGATAATGAGGGGGGGACCTACAGTCCTCCCCCTGGGTCCTACCCCTGGGCGGCGGGTGGGGGCCATAAAGATAATGAGGGAGGGACCTACTGTGGGGGCCCTAAGACAAATCCCCCTACCATCAAAGGTGACTAGGGGTCCCCAAGCCCCTAGTCACCCACCCCCCCCACCCAAATAAAAAGTTACCCCCTACCTACCCCTCTCACCGTAAAAACTAGTGAGGGGGGAATAAAATAACTAACCTGTAAAGAAAAATTAAACTTACCATTTGACGTCTTCTTTTTTCTAAAATCTTCATTTTTAACCTCAAAAAAAGGCCAAATAAAAAACCATCATACCCGTCGAACTTAAAATAAAATAAAAAACCAGAGCACAAAAAAAAAAACCTGACGAAAAAGAAAAAACCCGAGCGCAAAAAAAATAATCCTTCTTCACCCATGGATGGCTTTGCGCAGACTGAGCTCTGCAGGGCGGGGGAAGGCTTACAAAGCCTTCCCCCGCCCTGCAATTAGGCTAAGAACACTCTGATTGGTTGGTTTAAGCCAGTCAGAGTGCTCTTTGTCATTTTACACAGCGTAGGAAAGTTCTAAGGAATTTTCCCATGCTGTGTAATTTGACTCATAACACTCTGATTGCTCTTTGTCATTTTACATAGTGTGGTAAAGTTCTTTGGAATTCTTTGGAATTTTCAGAGTGCTCTTTGTCATTTTACATAGTGTGGTAAAGTTCTTTGGAATTTTCCCACGCTGTGTAATTTGACTCATAACACTCTGATTGGTGGGCTTGAAATCCATCCAATCAGAGTGCTTTGTGCCCTATAGAATGTAAGCTCGATTGAGCAGGGTCCTCTTCAACCTATTGTTCCTGTAAGTTTATTTGTAATTGTCCTATTTATAGTTAAATCCCCTCTCATAATATTGTAAAGCGCTACGGAATCTGTTGGCGCTATATAAATGGCAATAATAAATAATAAAAATAAATAAATTTTACACAGCGTGTGAAAGTTCTTTGGAATTTTCCCACGCTGTTTAAAATGACAAAGAGCACTCTGATTTTTTAGATTCCAAGCCCACCAAGCAGAGTGTTATGAGTCAAATTACACAGCGTGGGAAAATTCCAAAGAACTTTACCACACTGGGTAAAATGACAAAGAGCACTCTTATTGGTTAGATTCCAAGCCCACCAATCAGTGTGTTATGAGTCAAATGAACTTTCCCACGCTGTGTAAAATGAGGTGGGGGCCGGGGGGAGGACAGTAGGTTCCCCCCATTGTAATTTATGGCCCCCACCCACCGCGCAGGGGTGGGGGCTAGGTGGAAGACAGTAGGTCCCCCACCTCATTATCTTTATGGCCCCCACCCACCGCTCAGGGGTGAGGGCCGGGGGGGGAGGGGAAGACAATAGGTCCCCCCTTATTATTATTTAGGGCCCCAACCCGCCGCGCAAGATGGAGGTACCCAGTTGCGGGGAAAAAACTGCATTGATTTCAACATTTATTTTTAACACATTACTTTTTCCATATAAGTAAACAAAAGATAGTAATAATAAATAAGTAAGCAGAATCAAGAACGGGTGCAGTCCAAATAAGATACTACTTCAAGTGTCAAAACACAATCTATTTAAAATACACAAGGATGCACAACAGTCAAAAAAGATAAAATCCAATATCCTTTATTAAATACAGATATACCAATAATAAATAAACATAAAGCCAATGAGGCTAAGGCCAAATAACAGCAGTAAACAAATTCCAACATGTAGCATACCAGTGAGACGTGTCACAGGAACCCCCATCGTTTCGGCACACACTGGTGTCTTTCTTGGGGATAGTCACCATTCACTTTATATTTTTATTGGCATATTTGTTTTTAATAAAGGATTTTGGATAGTATCTGTTGACTGGTACGCTTCCTTGCGTATTGTAACTATAGAAATAAGTAAACATAAAATTAAATGACAGTTCCCCTTTAGAGTGATATTTTGGCAGGGTGTTGTCATTTTCTGTAGTTTAGTTGTTGCTGCCTTGCTACTTGAGACATTTTTATAAATATTAAAACATTGTGTTTGTAAATAGTGAGAGACTGCAGTTAGAATACAATAATAAAATACTACATAAAGTTTGTATATTATTTATTTTTTTCAGTCAAGCTGTCTTGAGCTAACATTCCTAACATTCGCAGTTACCAGGTCCTACAGAGTTTCCAACAATTCACAGTTTAGTGAATGACTGACACTATCATTTCAAAACAGAAAAACAAATACATATGAACTGCAGTACAGGACACATATCACACCATTTAGATTCTAGAACACATGCATTGTGTATCACTAGTGAAGGTGTGTGATAAAGGCAGGAAAACAAACACCTCCATCATCCAATTAAGCTTTTTTTTTTTTTAAAAAAAAAACACATTCACCAAGCTTTATTGACACGGTACAGTATTTTATGTTTGGTGGAAGGCAATGTCGCGCTTGGCGAGGATCACTTGACGATTGTTTTCCTTGCGACCGTAAAGTGAGGTTAGTGCGCATGCGCAGTAGCAAGTTCGCTGCCATTCCTTTGCCTGTCCCACGTGTGTCTGTGCTACCTGTGGGCTGATCGGAGGGTCCTGGCACGGGGCGAGTCAGGTTAGTTTTATACCGCGGTAGGTTAACTAGGCTTTTAATCTCTATCACAGCGACTTGGAAACCTGACAACATTCAATTCTCAGTCTGCATTCTAAAGTCACACTGCAGAATAGACATAGCTTCTATTAGATTGTAAGCTCTGCGAACAAGCTGCTGCCTCGGTGTTTAGCAGTTTTCTTTTTCGGTCTATTTGACTCACAGCGTTTTCTAGTTTATAAAGATTGGTTCATCCTGTGGACAGTACGTGTTATGTCTTATATAAGCCTAACTGAGAATTGTGTTTTAAGAGTTGTGTCTAAAAGAACAATTTACATTTAACTACTTTTTTTTTTTTTTCCACCGTTGAGCTGTACATTTAGATTAGATGGATGACTTTTAGTGTGTACATCAGAGATGGGAATATTTTCTTGTGAATCTATAACTCATGTTCAGCCAGCCACATGTGCTTTCCTTGATTTTAAAATATGTTGAGCATTTTGCAAATTAAAGGACCACTGCAGTGCCAGGAAAATAAAATCGTTTTCCTGGCACTATAGGGTCCCACTCTTGCTGGGCCGAAGGGGTTAAACACTTGCCTTTCTCCAGCGCCAGGCTCCCTCGGCACTGGGAAACTCTCCTCCCTCTGCCGACGTCGGCTCCGAATGCGCATGCGTGGCAGAAGCCGCACGGCATTCAAACAGCCCATAGGAAAGCATTTCTCAATAATTTCCTATGGACGTCCAGCGTCTTTTCACTGTGATTTTCACAGTGAGAAGACGCTGGACGTCCATAGCGGCTGTCAGTGAGACAGCCACTAGAGGCTGGATTAACCCTAGTGTAAACAAGATTGCAGGGTTAACACTAGAGGGACCTGGCACTCAGACCACTTCATTGAGCTGAAGTGGTCTGGGTGCCTATAGTGGTCCTTTTAATAAAGACCCATTTTTGCGCATCACTGATTTCCTTGCTTCTGATAGAGATTGCCAATCAGATGCGTCTCATAGAGAAGCATTGATGAAAGATCTCCAGTAGAAACCTTCACATAGGGAGAGATTTGTAAACTCGTATTAAAATAAATCATTTAATACTTTGTCAGTTCAAGTGTTTTGTAATGGGGACATATTTTGTTGACTCACTATACAAAGCAATCGACTAAATTCTTAACAGACTGTCAGCTGCTGGATAAGTCCACAAAAGGTGTTCAGCAAATGGTTGCTTTACTGTCCTTTTACATCAGATGTATACTTTAACTCTCACCAGATTCAGCCAAAATCTCCTTGAACATTATAGGAGTTGTCCTGCAGGAGTAGGCAACTACTTGAACTCAATTTGATAGGACTTAAGTCCAACTCAGTGGCTTGTGGTTTTTATTTTCTGACCTAGAAATGGCAGAAGTCAAAGCCTGGAGCAATTTAAGTTTTTTTTTTTTTTTCTTTATCAAGAATTATAGTTACATTTCCTGAGATCCTGCCAGCATAAGATGTGACACTGTCAAGGAGTCTGGGGTTAGTGTACTGACCCCAAATGCAAGAGTAGCACTATATTAAAGGGACACTATAGTCGCCAGAACAACTACAGCTAATTGCATTTGTTCTGGTGAGTAGAATCATTACCTTCAGGCTTTTTGCTGTAAATAATGCTTGTTTCAAAGAAAATGCAGTGTTTACATTACAGCCTAGTGATAACTTCACTGGCCACTCCTCAGCTGTTAAAGATCCTTCCTGGGTCATGGCTGCCTAAAATGCATCCAAACATTCAGTATCTCCTCCCTCTGCATGCAGACACTGAACTTTCCTCAGAGATTCATGGATTCAATTCATCTCTATGAGGAGATGCTGATTGGCCAGGGCTGTGTTTGAATTGTGCTGGCTCTGCCCCTGATCTGCCTCTTTGTTAGTCTCATCCAATCCTTTGGGGAAGCACTGCGATTGGGTCAGGCTACCACTTCTGATGGTGTCAGTGGGCAGGTCAAAAGGAAACAGGGACAAAGTAAACAGCTGCAGACCTGAATGCAAGTAAGATTTTACTATATTTAGGGAGGCATGAGGGGATCGGGGTGGCTAAATGGTGGTTTTAACCCTGTAGGGTCAGGAATACATGTTTGTGTTCCTGACCCTATAGTGCTCATTTAATATGTGTACTATAACCACATCAATAAGATGCAATAGTTATGGTGTGCAGTCTCTTTTAAAATCCACTTCCTATATTGCAACTTGGGTTGTTTTGTTTTTTTTGATGATTTCTATTTTCTGTTTTTAATTTTGTTTAGCTTTAATACCATGGAAGCAAAGAATAAAGGACCATTAAAGGCACGGGGGAAGAAACAAAATATGACAAAGGGAACCAAATTTAGAAATAAAGGTAATGTGTATTCTTCAAGATAAGAAAACATGCTTTCTGGGGACCTCCACAACGCTTCCAGGGCCAATCCTTATGCGCTCAGACATCACTTCCAGGGTGCTGTATATGCACCTGGCACGATTGTAGTTGAATTAATTTGCATGGTATGCTCTCGAACTGTCAAAAAATAAAAAATTAGAAACCATTCAAATTGAAAAGTGGCACAACCTAGACATAACATTCAGCTACAATGCTGTGCACAAATCTCAGATCTGACAGTTCCCCTTTCTTATGTATACCGTGTTTTGAAACTCAAAGCCTGATAACAATAGCTTATTACTCTTAGTCTATTAGTAATGTCAGTATGAACTTCCATTATACATATCACTGTAGACCAGAAAGAACCGTGGAAGGCAGACATTGCGAGCTAAGTGTCAAACCATTTAGGTTTAACAGTTTATTGTGGGATGACACAAGGGGGGCAGTGCTATGTAGTTATTGTTTTGTATAATATCCATTTAAATATGTCCATGTTCAAACAATCATTTTACATTTTCTAAAATTGTCAGATTCCATATCAAGGGTCAAATGTGTCTACTGCCTAACTAGTGGAATTGTGTTCATGGGTTGGCCATGAGAATATTTAACGTAAACTGGCTACATATAACATTTATTCCTAGAGAATACTGGTAGTAATAACTTATTTTTCTCTGTACATAAATCTGCTTCTTACTATGATTGTCTCAAATGAGAGTATGCTGAAATGTATATGCAAAGCTCACTCATTATTTTACTCGTTTAGGTGCAGCACCAGGCTCTCAAAAACAAGGCACAAGCAACAGCCCCAAGAAAACCCGAAATATCAAACCAAACAAATTTGAAAAGGGCAAAAAGATGCCTGATAGGGCAGGAGGAAAAGCAGGCGTGAAACAGTTTACAGCTAAAAATACAAAACAGGGTGATGGTTTCACACAGAAGAGAAAACGCCAAACAGGGAACAATGATGGAGGTTAGTGTTGCATCAGTTTGTTTGAAACCAATTGTTCTAAAAGAAACCAAGGAATTGGTCTTACTTTTAATTTTAGGTGGTTTAAAATGGTTACAATAGCAGCTGTAGTGCTTATGGTGCTTATATTTCTGGTCCCTGGAAGTAAAAAACTGGTTTTGAGTGATTTAAAGCAGCTCATTGAAATGCCAGCCCAGCCAAAGATATACGAAGATAAAGTAGGGACTACTTTATCTTAGATTTTATTTCTACGCTTGATAAAAAGACTGAGCTACCTAGTGACAATAGAGGGGAAAGGCTCTTTTTTTATAAAGTGTCCTGTGGGATCCTCCCGGAGAAAACATTGTCTCGTAGCAGCTGAAGCATCAGGAGCAGAAGAAAATCAGCAGAAAAAGCATGGCAATGGTCACGATGGACAGATTCAGGTAAGTATAACTCACCTTTTCTCCTTCCCCTGCTTCTCATGGAAACCAGATCCCCAGCAGCTTAGTCACTCTCCGAGGTCTTTGCAAATTATGCAAAGACTCCAGGCAGTAACAGTGTTACTTTAATTAAAAATAGGTCTCCCTGGGTGCGTGTGGCTCGATCCATAGCTCGGCATATTTTTTTTGTATATTTTTTTTGGAAGTTACCAAAAATATTTATAATATCTATTCCATCCATATGTTAAGCGGCATTCACTGGCTAAATATGCCCAAACTTGGGCAAAAATGGGCATATAACGTCTGCTCGGTTAAACCTTCGATTTATGTCAGACTATTCATACATGGTGTCAAAAAATTGAGGAATCCGGCAAAGGGCATGTGGACTGTAGTGATTCTGTTTCTCAGAGTAATCATTTAAGCAAGTCCAAATCCAGAGAATTTTGAATCCTCTTTGACTTTGAGGCAACGTGTCTTTTATTTATTTTTATTTTTTTGTGACTCCTTTTACCATTGCAAATGACAAACAGTGAACTTGTAACCTTTCACTGACTATGTGAAGCTTGTTTTTATTTTTTGCACTTACAGATGATTAGCAATATGGTGATTTTTATTTGATTTCTCCAGGACTTACACTGTCCTTGTTATTCCTAGAGATATTCAAAAAAATACTGAATGAGGTTTGTAGAGGGGGGGAAAAAAGATATATCTCTATATGTGTGTTTGTGTGGTGCTGTCTGCAGCTTTTTATGTTGTGTTCTAGTGGAAGGCTCACGTCCTCTGCTGCCATATCTGTTTTGGAAGAGTGAATTAATTTATTGGTGGCAACTGCGCTCTGGGGGTGTGACTTCAATAAGCTGAGGCAACCCTGGACATTTAGGGTTCTATTCACCAAACTCCAAAAGTGTAAGAGTTGTGAGTCGGAGATGATTTTCAGATGTACTAAACTTCAGATTTCATTTTGCTGTATATTTAATGTCTACATACATATTGCTTTTTTTTGGTCATTGAAATGTTATGTCAAATGCCACATTTTATTTATCGGAAAAAAATAAAAGTAGGCGGTTATGATATTTTTTTTTTTATATATTTAATTTTACCACAGGTTCGGAAGCCAAGAAACCCAAGTGGGAAGACATCAAAAAGGAAAAAAAAGAACTGAAGCAGACACGGCAGCTGAATGAGAAGAGCAACTATGATGTTATGACAAAATCCAAGCAGATCTGGGAGAGTATAAGAAGGTATGTACTATTCATTTTGGGGGGGAAAAAAGTTTTGTAAGGTAGTATTAATTTTAGAGTAGCCAAGCAGTTCATAGTTTCAATTATGTGCCTAGTAGGATTGAAGAGAAGCCAAATTGCCATACTCCGATGCCAGAGCCGATTCCACATCAGTCGCAGTGCATGCCAGAGTCTTATTCATAGTTCGTAGTTTTGAAAAAAATAAAACAAAACAATTTCTTTAAAGGGACACTGTAGGCAACCAGACCACTTCAGCTCCTTGCAGTGGTCTGGGTGCAATGTCCAATGTCCCTTAACCCTGCTATAGTATTAATTGCAGTTACTGGGAAAACCTTTGGTCTGGTATCTGATGCTGGACTTCCTCACGCTCTGCATGAGGACCTCCAGCGTCAGATTTTTCCCTATAGGAAAGCATTGAATAATGCTTTCCTGTGGGGAAATACTAAAGCGAGTGCGGCAGATCTCCGACGTCGACAGGGGAGGAGCGTCGGCGGAACCTGACCCAGTGCCGAGGGACATCAGCACTGGTTTTAGGTAGGGTATTTGAAGGGGTTTTAACACCTTCTGCGTCGTGAGTCAGGGGGGCGCTGTAGGATTTTGTAGTGCCAGGAAACCTGCTTTGTTTTCCTGGCACTATAGAAGGCCTTTAAAGATTGTCAAACAAAAAAAGGTTCAAGGCTGATAGCTTTTGATAGTCCTGATTAGAACTGAACCAGTCAGGCTTTTTGGTCTCATCTGGCTTCTGCCTGCTTTTAACCCTTGTGTTGCTGCCCTTGTTGTTGCAGTGATCTTTACCTGGCTGATACTGGCATGAGTTAGTGACACTTGATGATCCTTGTGTGCCTTCTGCTCTAGAATGTCACTGAAACATATACATATGACTTTGTATTGCAATATATTTGTGTCTAGTGGAAGGTTATTAGTATTATCAATCCTAATTTAGCTTTTTTTGTTTTACTTAACTTTCCTTCTTTCTATTTGACGAATAGTACTTATGTAGTAGTGGATAGGCAAGATTAGACTCATTTTAGTATTTGACTTTTTCTAATTAGTACTTTGTGTTTGTACTTCTAAAATAGCTCTTTATTTTTTGGTTTATCTCCTAAATTATGCAGTGTCATATTTTAATATAGGTATGCAATCCTGTCTGATAATCTACTGGGGAGAAATGCAGCATGCTTATTTCTATGCATTTTAATAATCTGTCCTATTTCTCCTGTGCTTGTAGAAAGGATTGTGATGCAACGAAGAGATCTAAGCTGATGAATGACCTGCAGAAATTGCTTAAAGGCAATGTGAAAAGTGTGAGTAAAGTTGGAGCTGATGTAATCCTGCAGGAGAGAAAATCTGTCTGCAATAATATGGTGCTCAGTCAATCTCTTGACTTTCATTTAGCATATAATCAATGTGATCTGTGTGACTCTTGTGGAGAATTAATCAGTTTAATTAGATTGCATTTCTGGTAGGTCAGTATGTATTGCTTTTACGATACCTCTAGCATCTCCCAAAACTTGGTTCTTTCTTTTATATCTTCAAGCCATAGAGAAACGTGATATATGAACATATACCCGCAGCTGTATGTTTTCTGACTCTTTTCGGTAGCCATATTGTCTGTTTAATGTCCCATATCATCAAGCAATAGTCTGTAAATTGGTTTACTGAAAAAGGTATTTTATTATAAACACATAGTACTTTTGTAGTTCTTATACGGTGATAACATTTAAATCACACTTAAAGGGACACTATAGTCGCTGAAACAATTTTACTTTAGTGACGCAGTTTTGGTGTATAGATCAAGTCTAATCCTCAATTATCTCCCAATTAGGAGTTAAATTACTTTTGTTTCCGTCCATGCAGCCCTAGACTCACACAGCATGGAAAAAAAAATGTTTCACTTTCAGTCAGATGTTAATCTTTTGGATCAACAGCAAAAAACAAATGTGAGGAAGGCTGAACTTGATAGACTCAAGTCTCTTTTCAGCTATGTAACTATGTAAGTTACTTTATAAGATTTTATCTCCTGCTCTTTAAATTGAACTTTAATCACACACACGAGGCTCCTGCAAGGTCTAGTAAGCTGTTAACAGTGCAGTAAATTGTAAATTCAGAATTAAACAGACTCTTTACAGGAATTGTTTAGGAAAGCTGTGTAAGTTACATACATAGATGTGTGACTAGGACTGCATAAACAAAGTGATTTAACTCCTAAATGGCAGAGAATTGAGCAGTGACACTGCAGTGGCATCTGTACACCAAAACTGTTTTATTAAGCTAAAGTTGTTTTACTTATTATAGTGTTCCCTTTAAGCAACTTCGTATATAATTCCTTTTTCTGGGTCGTTTACTAAAGTGAGAATTCAAAGTGAAAACAGAATACACTTGAAGAATTTATCTAAATTGGCTATTTCGCTCTAAAATTTGAAATCACTTTGAATTCCTAGCGATTATCACTTAAGTGAATTACCCTGTTTATCACCCCAATACATTTTTAAAGGTTATAACAATTTTACATTGATGAAAATACAATCCTTTCACTGTGGAATGCAGAGAAAAATAATACACAAGTAGTCACAGTACTAATCTCATCACTTTGGGGACAGAATACAAAATCTATACAAATTGAAACTTTTTCAGTAAAACAATTCCAAAACCTAAACATATTTGTCTGAGTCCACTAGTTGAAGAGTGTTCCAAGCAGTGGCTCATTATAACAACAAGTTAATTATATACACGGACACACACACCTATCATTTGGTGTTTTTCAAAGACTTTGAGGTGGCTTGATGACCACTATCCTACAGACAGCATTAGCAAACATTATTTTTGACATACCAATAAATTAGGACTGTGCTGTCTCAAAATGTCTCTTAGTTAATGCATCCTTGTTTTCCAAAACACAGTCATACAGTATAGCAAAACAATGTGTTAAATACCTTCTTGGTAAATATGTTTATGAATCCAAATAAGTGAAGGAATCTTAATACTAGATACACCTGGTTTATTTATATATTGTGCACCAGGCCAAAATAGTTTGGAGTCTAAAGGGGTGGGATTGAACAGATTAAATGGGTTAGTTGCACCACCTATTGGTGCTAGTATGAGTCGTTATTGGGGGGTAAAAATGTCTTACAAGTGCAAAATAATTTAATTCGACATGATCTAAAGATGTGACTGATGACCTATAAAAGAGCGCTTCTATGTCCTATAATCACCATTTCACAGGCTGGTAGGACAGCGTTTTATCCAAACTGAATTGTTTTGAAATACTTATTTACAGATTCCCTACTATTAGATTACTATTGGATTTCTCATAATTAAAGACAGGCCCTCGTTTGTCAGCATACACCCAGTAATCCCTGTATACCATGGGTCATAATAATTAAGAACAGATGCTATACCGACGGCAGACAGTAGAGGGTAGATGTGTACAATGATAAAACCTGTACTCTGTCTGTGTTCCTTTCATATCACATCTTCCTGAAGCAAAATGGGAACACTAAAGGTGAATAAAAAGATATTGAATAGGATTTGTTTTGCATAAAGTATCTTCTATTCTTTCAAACTGCAAACTGTATGAAACAGAGCCTGTTTTGTAGCTATTCACACTGATGATAACCTTAACAGTTATAGTCTATATTGTTGCCATCACCAACAGATATAAAAAAGAAAAAACAGTTTTATTTTAATAGCACTAGCTATAGCTATAACAATTTGGGGCCTTCTCATAAGAGCATAATTCCACAATTCTTAATTTACATGCTGGGACTTAAACTGCCATTGTATGCACTCTAGAGTACTGCCATATTTTTTTTGAGTATAGCAGGGGTTCCTTTTTTATTAGAAGTTTCTATAAATTACAGCCAGGTATATATTCTGATGGGGTGCAGAAAATAAATGTTTACACATAGTATATTTTGCAGATATTCTTGCTGTCTCCTGATTATGCAAACAACTGAAATAAACTTGCCCCTGTTTATGACTAAATGTTAGATGTGAGTTTAAAATGAATCTTTTTGTATTGCTTTGTGTACACGTGTGGGATGAAGCAGTGGCAAGCAAGTCAGAGCTTTGAAATTCAAGAGTTTCTTGTTCTCAATCATATCTCCCTGAGTAATTGCTGAATATGTGATGAACTGGATCCATGTGTTTGTTTGTTTGTGTTTTTTTTTTTTTTTTCTTACCTGCTGTTGTTTTGCTTTTTTAGTTTGTTTTTTTTTGTCTTAAATTTCATTTGTTTTCCATTTGTTTTCTCTGACAGATTGCTTTTGCTCATGATACAACTCGTGTTATTCAGTGTTATATAAAACATGCAGATGAGAAAAGAAGGGACGATGTTTTTGAAGAACTAAAAGGTAATTTTTTTTGTTTTGTTTTTTTGTTCAGCAAGTAGATAATTTTCCAGCTAATTCCTCTTTAATATTGTTGGTTACATTTTTCAAATGATTTAATATTTTTAGATGATGATTTTTGTTTTGATATATTTTTTATTTTTTTTATTTTAAGATTTAGTATTATGAAACACAAGTTTGTATTTTTTTGTAATGTTTTGATAATTTTGGGGGAGGATGTTTTAATATATTGAAACAATGTTAAAAATTTTTTATCAAAAAATAGTAAATAATTTGGAAAGCTTACCCAGCAATATTAAATTGAGGCCTTAAATCACTTTATCTTTATGGTATACACATGCCAATATGTATTGTAATTTGTCATAACCTGCGTGTAATGGCACACTGTCGTATTCATTGATTAGCTCTTTTTAATTCCTTGGTTGCAGACTATATGATACTTATATCGCCTGCCTTTTGTGTATATATAATTTTAGAGATTTCTTTTTTTCTTTTTCAGAACATATAGTAGACTTAAGCAAGTCTAAATATGCCAGAAACATTGTCAGGAAATTCCTTATGTATGGGTAAGTTTGAAAAACCGCTATATTATGAAGTTTGGACAGACTGAATATATCTCCCCTCCCACCCCCCCTTCTGATGTTCACAATTTCACATTTTGTTTTTAACTCAATGTTGACATTAGATTCTTATCAGATACTTTACATTTGACCTAGGAGGAGGCAATGAAATATAACCCGTCCATTACATACAGACTTGTTTATTGTCATCCCATTCATTCCTGTTTCAGGCAGGTCAAACAGGGAAGGTTTCCCCCAACTACAATGAAACCATTCTATGCATTTTCTGTTTTCTCTAAATTTATTTCCATGATATGGAATTCTTAAGAACAGGCTATTGTTGGTTTTTATTTTGTCATATATAAATCACCCACCCACACAACCTTGGGTTTACCCTATCTAATGCATCCTGAAATGGTACAAGTAGTTAAACATGATCATGTTTTATTACTCGCCGTGCATGATGCAACTGCAAATTAAAACACTTAAAAAAAAAAAAAAAAAAAAAATAGAAAGTGGCAAGGCAATGCCTTTTTTGATGCAGCATTGTAGTGGTTTTTTTTTTTTTTTTTAATAGGAAATGTAAGTGCATTCATGTTAATAGATCACACATTCACAAGTCAGTTTTCCAGAACAGAGAACAGAAAAGCATTTTTGACGTGTGTACTGTAATTCGTGATCACCTTTACCCTGATCATTATATGAACACAACTCCATAGATGTGTAAATATGTGTATGCATTTGTGTAAAACCGTTTATTGGATTAGGAAAGAGTGTTAGGAAGTGATTCATAAAAGGATGTTGTTTGGCTATGTGCGTGGGATTAGCAAACTGTGAGCTTTATTCACTCATCTCCAAATGTCAACACTGATTATCTTGCATTATATGACTGCAGTACTGCGTAAGCAAACCTGGCAATTGCACAGTCTCTTGTCCACTTTATTGTCGCTTTTACCGTTAATGTTGCCGTCCTGCCCTGAGCTCAGGGAAGCATTGTGTATGCTGCACAACACTCATATGTATATTTGTTCCATGAGCTGGTGAGATTCTTATTAATGTAGTGAAATGCTAAATAATGCGACAAGCAGCAATAATAAATTCCCACAATTATATCAGCAATGTTAAAATAACAAAATTCGACTAGAACATACACACGCTGTTATGTTCCACACCCTACAGCACACCTACCTTAATTTGTGAAATACAAGCAAGATTATTAAACTTCAATTTGAGTTATTGTACATGTATTATACATGTATTTTATACATGAAGGGGGTAATTTTTTTGATCACCATAACCAGTAGAGCTTACTGTATTGGTTATGTTGCAAGAGTATTGTAGTTAGAGGCTCTCCTAGCAACCGAAGAATTTAGCCCCTGTGCGGCTGCTTAGATTACATCCCAGTTTTACTTCTATTTTATCCATATGACATTGATGATTTCTTAGGTCTAAGTGCGGCCAAGCCTAGTGGTCACAGCTTTTTGTTTTTAACTTAAAACCTATCCCTAGGCTTGCTAAGTATGGAGCACTTTCTTGCATTTTGCTTTGTAGTATTTTCTATCTTGTTACTTTATCTCAAATGGTTGTGATTGTCACATGCAGCTGATTAAAACTCTCTGGCTGTGTTCACTAACCATAGTGGTTTATGTATTGAGTTTAATGGGTGTGACTTGGAATGTCTTAGTTTGAGTTGTATGCTATCGAACTTGGTTAATTCTCTGCCTTCCCTGTTGCTGAAAGGTTCTATTTACGTCTGATGACATAGTGGTGTTGTACAGTTTAGTAAGAAGACCTGTATACATCAGTATACGGTGTCCAATTTTAAACAGATTCATCTAGTGTGGTAAATTGGCAATTTTCTTTTCTTTTTTTTTCAAATGCGTTATAGGTCCAAATCACAAGTGGCAGAAATAATTAAAAGTTTTAAAGGGCAAGTAAAAAAACTCTTGCGTCATTCAGAGGCATCTTACATTGTGGAATATGCTTACAATCACAAAGCCATTCTAGAGCAGAGGAACAGGCTGTGTGAGGAACTGTATGGAAACACATTCCGCTTCTTTAAGGTAAGCATAAAACTATAAAAAATTGTACACACTGATATGGCCTTGCTAGCTCTGTCATTTTCTATCTATCCTTTTTTATTCTCATTTTTCATAATTTGTTTTATTTCTGCAGTCAGCTGTTCATCCTTCTTTAGGCCAGGTATTGGAAGCCCAGCCTGAGAAGAAGGAAGCCATCTTGGAGGAAATGAAGCAGATCCTTTTACCTTTGGCTCAAAAGTAAGCTCTAATTTTTCTTAACAAAATGTAATGTAACGCAACATAACACTGTTAGCTGCTTTAAAAACCTGAATTTATTAACTCCTGGTGTTAGAACACCCTTATGTTTGATGAAGCAGGCAACTCTTTTTCCACTGAACTCTCTCTATTTCTCTTTGCATTCTTGGTGTCATTCTGCATTTAACATGAAACAATGTAGAATAACAAACAAGTAGTATAACTATCCTAATAATTGTTAAAGGATATATGGCATTTCTGCAGTTATGGGTTACTGAACAAAACACGCAAACGTGCACTACTATAGTACATTGGTCATTAAACTATCCTGTTATGCAAGTGTGTGTGTGTATATGTATAATAGTCCATATGTGTTCTAGCACTGAAGGTCTTTAAGAAATTAAATCTACTTTATTCATACTAAATCCAGTTCATACATCAATGTGAAGTCAACGTTTCAGTTCATCTATGTGAACTTTCATGTCCTGATGAAAGATCACATAGATGAACAAAAAGTGAACCATTTTTTGGGGGGAGGGGGTTGTATTAATTATATATTAATAATGAAGACTTTTTTTTTTTTTTTTAAGACCTTGAATGCTAGTAATATTTGGACTATTATGTGAAGTGTTGTCAGTTGGAGTGCAGGACGACAAAGGTGTGTGTGTGTGTGTGTGTGTGTTAGTTACGAATCGTGAACACCGTCTTCTGATACAGAATATTGTACCTCCACATCTGAAAACTAACAAATATATGTATTTTCAGTTGCTGGATATCTGATGCTCAATACTTTGTTAACCGTCCCTTGCTTTTCGTAATTAGCTGGAGCAGAAAGAGCACATTAACTTAGAAAAGCAATGGACATTTGCAAATTTAGTGAGCATTGGGTGAGATAACTGACAATTTAAATGAAGATGCATAAAGCTGGCTGCCTTGTGGAGTCACTGATTGGCTGAGAGTGCCAGCTTATCACTCACTGCAATTCAGGGTGCCCCTGCCCAGCGACACTCTGCACTTATGAGATTTCTGAAGATGGAGGCTGTCTGGGGGACCTGAGAATCTACGCTGGAGGCTCACTTTGGGTTTAAACCACTCAAGAATGGTTTAACCGCTTACGGCAGAGGTGCCAAAAAGGAAGATCCCCAGATGTTTTAAAACGATAGTTTCCGGGGGTGGGGCCTGACCATCATGGTGGAGATACATGTTCTGCATGAGCTCCCACACAAGCCTGATCTTAAAAGCTTAATACAGCCTGCAAAAGTGAGAATTCGGGGGGGGAGGCGCATCACCTACTCACCTGATCCTTACATCGGAGGACATGCAACGGGGTGACAGGCAAACTAAACAAGGCGCTCCTACCGCTGGTTGGGCCGTACGGCCTGGTGCACCTGGGGCGGGAGAGGCGGCTTCTCTCCTGGCTCGGGAATGCACTGGATACTGCAGGAGTGTAGGGTGGAAAAATGCTGGAGGAGACCTGGTGCAGTGACTCACCTAAAATGGCGGACGCAACACATGCCTGTTGCCCCACTGCCAAACACATTGATATCCTGGCAAAACTGGACAAACTATTTGATGCCTTCTGGCACAGGCTGTACCAGCCGGCCCCACCACAGAAGAGTGATGTCTCACTCTGAAGTCCCCCCTCTATCGCACAATCCAGAAGCGCTTCCTTTGGCTGTAGAGCAGGCCCCAAGATGGTGGCACAGTTCTTGTGCAGCAACATGGAGACAGGCTCGGTTCCAGTCTGTGGCTGAAGCTGGAGATGACATCCAAAAAGCCTTGGGGAATCCGAATCCTGACACATACATGCATCACTCTGCCTGATGGATCCAGAGGCTTGCGGTGCTCATCTCTGGGATGGGACCCTGCTCAGTCCCTGGAGGGTATAGGATGACCTGGCCCATGGACTGAACGGTGCACAGCACATGGTCACCCACTCTCTCCATCTATACTAAGATAGCTCGAGGAGATTTTTTTTTTCTTTTTTCAACTATTGTTTTGTCCCCTCACACAGCTCCTTTCTTTTATCCTCACTGCTGAGGGAGCCTTCTGTTATCATTCTAACATGCATATATATGTTTTGTCTACGCTTGCAGAACTAGTATGTTTGTTATACTCTTCCTTTACTCATGCATATTTAGCCTAGTTATTTTAACAACTCATTTGCAGTAGGATTTTTTTTTTATATATACAATGCTTTTATTTAACAAAAAAAGTGCTATTTTCTCTGCCATAACAAATATTGTTACTAAATTGCTTGCTTCTGCCGTTGTGGCGTTGCGAGCCATGTAATTTTACGCACAACAAAAATAAAGAATATAAAAATGAACTGCAGCTTCCTTGATGCTATATCATTCTAAAGACATGCAAAGCATTCATTGGAGTTGTAGTTCTATAAAATCTGGGGATCTACTTTTTGGGCAGCTTAATATAGATGATGTTGTTGTGGTGCCTAAATGGTTCATTTAATAGTGAATTTTGGAACAGAAATCAAAAAAAAAAAAAAATAGCTGAGTTAGAGAATTGTTAAAACACTGCTATTTGACCTATATTTTTTTTGCAATTCACTTTTCTACTCATTACAGCACATTAAATGAATAACCCACATATAGTTTGAAAATAACGATACAAGAGGAAAAGCAATAACTTGCCATGAAAAGGGTTTCTCAAAATTTAAATTTCAGAAAAATATAGGGATCTTTATATGTTGTATCATAAGATAATACTAAAAGCTACACCATTGAGAGCCAGGTGTATGCATGGCCGTTCATTTGCATTTCATTGCCCATTCAGAGGAGAAAAGGCCAGCAGGTGAAGCCTATTTTTGTTTTGAAAAGTGTGACCTTTTCAGATGAGGCCCATAGCTTTAGAGTACATTATATTTGTTACTGCATCTGTGTATTTATGCACGCCTTTTAATTGCATTAGTCTTCTCCTTATTTCAGCGGGCACACAGGCAGTGTTTAAAGGCAGATTTTTTTACTTATCAAGGTGCAGCTTATGAGACCATAAACTGTATTTGACAGTGTCTGATCCTTTCTGTCTGCAAATCACAAGGAATTTGGCGACCCTGTATTTGCAACCAGAATAGTGTCCTGGAGAATGGCTAGTGACTAACCCCTTTTTCCTTGTCTTACCTTTACGTGATATGATGCTCAAACTCAAGCTTTAAATGACCTCGGCAACAAACTAGTTAAGCGTGATAAAGTTTGGACACTGCTGCAAATTGTCAGACATCTGGTTTTGACAGGCATGTACTGAACAAGCTTGTTTGTTATAATCCTTTTATTTGTATAAAAAAAGAGAATACACGTATGTACATAACAGTATATGGACTGTGCTAAAGAATTGTTTCTGCTTCTTTCTTTACAGAGAATCTGTAATTAAGCATTCACTGGTGCACAAAGTATTCTTGGACTTTTTTACTTATGCAACTCCAAAAATAAGATCTGTAAGTCAATATCCACATTCTTGTTTATTTTTCTGTGATATAGATCTATATAATTTTATTATTCACATATTTTCTCACCCCTCCAGTTAGTATTTTGTGTAGTCCTTCTACTCGGGTACTCTGTCAGAGCTCTGGGAGTCCTAGGGTTCTTCTTAGTATCTTACCTGCCCCTAGAACTGCACTCTTCTAGTCAGAGATCTCCGATATCCCACCTTGAATGTGCTGAGGCCACTCTGCCAATGTGGCGCTTACAGACACTTTTGCTCCTATCACAACTAGGACTACTATTGCCTTCATTTTCTTTCTTTCTTATCCTTTTTTAGCTCCTCTTTCATATTAAAATTTTCCATCTCTATATCTGTTTATCTATTCTCACAAGTGATTCTCAACAGGGGTACAGTATTTGTTTTCCTTGTGGTTCTTGATTGAGTGTCTGTGTAGGTTCATTGTGAGATGCAGCTTAAAGGACCACTATAGTGCCCTGAGGGTGCCCCCACCCTCAGGGACCCCCTCCCATCCGGCTCTGGAAGGGGGAAAGGGGTAACAACTTACCTTTTTCCAGCGCTGGGCGGGGAGCTCTCCTCCTTCTCTCCTCCTCCGTTCCTCCTCCTGGGCTGAATGCGCACACGCAGCAAGAGCTGCGCGTGCATTGAGCCGGTCGCATAGGAAAGCATTTACAATGCTTTCCTATGGACGCTTGCGTGCTCTCACTGTGAAAATCACAGTGAGAAGCACGCAACCGCCTCTAGTGGCTGTCAATGAGACAGCCACTAGAGGATTAGGGGGAAGGCTTAACCCATTCATAAACATAGCAGTTTCTCTGAAACTGCTATGTTTATGAAAAAATGGGTTAATCCTAGAAGGACCTGGCACCCAGACCACTTCATTAAGCTGAAGTGGTCTGGGTGCCTAGAGTGGTCCTTTAAGGCCAGTTTCCCAAAAGTGGTGTACAGCGTGACAAAGGTTGCTACATTGGAGAAACAGGACTTAGGCTGCATCAGAATGAATACACTGTGTAATGTATACAAATAGAAACAAGGGGGATGATGTTAATGCTGATATAACTTACAGTGAACAGTCAAGATGTTCACGCAAACATAAGTGATGTGCACAAAGATTGTATTAAATATTTAGAAGAATTAACCAAAGTGTCAAAAATTGGTATTTCAAGGAGAGAAGAATTTGAACAGTAAGCTACAAAGAGTTAAACAGAATATATGCAAAAATTAGATAAAGTAAAGGGGTGGGGGTTATACTGCTCCATTATGCGGGAGAGGGGGTGTTTTGTAACTATTGAGAATAGCACTGCAGGCATCTTGTCTGTTTGATAGCTGAAATTAGAATACACTGACATGAAATCTATTTCATTAGTAATAGGATCACAGGTGTGCACCAAAAAAATAAAATAAAAGGTCACTGAAATGCAATAGAAAAGGTAACCTACTTATTTCCCATACTTAGTCTTTATATTATTTTAAAGTTTATTGATTTTTTATTTTTTTTTACACTGTATTTTTTTCAGGAAGTGATTGAGGCAATCAGAGAGTCTGTAATCTACATGATCCATACACATGATGGAGCCAGAGTAGGCATGCACTGCGTGTGGCATGGCACTGCCAAGGTATAGTATGTTTGTATGTTGGTATGTTCATTGTTCTATCATTTGATTTTCTTTCCCTACATTGTAGCACACATTTTCTTATTCAACATTTAAATGGATACTAGTAACTCAAACCGTTTTTAGTCCCTAGCCTCAGTAACTACTCAGTCTCCATAAAATGATCTGTCAACACCACATATCCATTTTTTTACTATGAACATAAAACATTTTAAAGATATTTTAGTGAAGTCTTTATTATGTGAAAATCATGCCACCATTAAGTTCTGGAGATGTTCGTAAACCACTTCCAATTATTCTTGCGGTTTATTATGTTTCCATAATACTTTTTTCATTATGTTTCCTATTTATATCTATTTACCGACACAAATACCAAAATTTATTCTTGTAGTTGAGCATCAGCTCTAATGAATAGATTATGATACTTTATCCCCATTTTCTAGTTTGATCATTCAACCGCTTAATTATATATTCTGAGAAGGTGCATCACTTCAGTAGAAGTTATTTTTTGTATGAGGTATAATAAAGTGGCACTTGATATAAAGCAATTTCTTCTATAGAAAACTTACCTGAGAGTGATCCTGATTTATTTATGAGTCAAGAATGGTTAAAGTGGAAAAAAACTAAAGTCAGCTAAGTGTTTAATTCCTTTATTTGCTCCTGGGAGGCCCTTGGGAATCTCCAGGCAGCTTGTGATCTATTTCTAATATGATTTTGAAGTATTCACTTCGTGTCTGAAGATAAATCATAACCTATTTTACTTCTCCGGTGTCCTGGCTGTTTTCCCTGTCTGCACTTACCAACTGAATGTAACAGACGAGCATTGTATATTGCTTGAGGGAATCCCTCATAGCTCATAGACTTTGATTTTGTTTTGAATTTTTTTTTATCTTTTATTAAGAGCAGAACTACCTCATACTTCAATTACAAGTTTCATCAAAGCAGACACTTGACTCTGCTTTCACTCTAGAAGTGTTTTAATCCCATTCGCAGTAGGATTTTTTTTATATATATATATACAATGCTTTTATTTATTTTTTATTTTTATTTGTTTCGAAATGATTGACAATTTTAATGCAGTTCTTAGTATTTGTTTTAAAAGGATACTATAGTCCCCAAAACAGCTTTAGCTTAATGTAACACTATAGGGTCAGGAACACAAACGTGTTAAAATCACCATTTAGGTGGCTCCCCCTCCCCCCCCAGCCCAGTTAAAAAAAACAAACGTGCATTATTTCACGCGACGCGCGGATCCGCCAGTGCTGGCCCGACCCCAATCCACCTCCTTGCTGACATGACAAAAATGTAAGATTTTTAGCCAATTGAATGCTGTGCAGCACTGCCCCAGGAATTGAGGAGTGGTCACTGGAGGTATCCCTAGGGGCCAATGTAAACACTGCCTTGTTTCTGAAAAGACCGTGTTTACACGAAAATACCTGCAGGGAATGATTATACTCACCAGAACAACTACATTAAGCTGCAGTTGTTCTGGTGACTATAGTGTCCCTTTAATGAAGCAGTTTTGGTGGATATATCATGTCCCTGCAGTTTTACTGCACAATTACCTGCACTTTGTTTATACAGCCCTGGTCACACCTCCCTGGTTGTAATGTGCACAGCCTTCATGTAAAGTGGGATTCTATGTTCATACATCCTTTTATTACACAGTCTATGTAATTTTGAATTTCTTATCTCAAAATTACATAGATTACATGTTTGCAAATAGCTTCCTAGACATTGCAGGAACCTCCTGTAATCCAAGTTCAGTTTACACAACTTTGATGTATAGATCATGTCCCTGCAGTCTCAATTGCAATTATCTGCCATTTAGGAGTTCAATCACTTTGTTTATGTACACTAGTCACACCTCCTTGCATGTGACTTGCACAGCATACCTAAATACATCCTGTAAACAATCTAATGTTTACACTTAGTTTATAGCAAAGTCTGTTTAATTTTAGAATTTCCTATCTCTTGTTCTGTTAAAAGCTTGCTAGACCTTACAGGAGATACAATATCTGAAGTATGTTACACCTGACTGAAAATAAAACAATTTAGTTTTCATGCAGGTTGTGTTAGTCACGGCTATGAGAGGTGTGGCTGGGGCTGCATGGACAGAAACAAAAGTGATTTAACTCCTAAATGGCAGAGAAAAAAAAGCAGTGAGACTTCAGAGACACGATCTATACACCAAAACTTCTTCATTAAGCTAGAATTGTTTTGGTGACAAGTGTCCCTTTAACAATCTTCCTAAACATTATTTTGAATTAATATATGTACAGATGTACCAACATGATTTCCAAGGGTGTTGTAACAATTTCTTTCCTATTTTCTTTGTGTTTTTCATTGTGACTTTTTGAATACACGATTATAGCTTGTTTTTTCTTTTTTTGTCCAGGACAGAAAAGTGTTTGTGAAAACTATGAAAACCTTTGTTGAAAAAATTGCCACGGTAAGGCATAACTCTTAACAGTGGTTTAAAACAGTGGTGCATAAAAAAGATGTACGACCCATAGTGCACAACATAGGGGCTTATTGATTATGAATAATACTTGCATAATATCATATGGACGTTGAAGTACTGAATAGAAATGTTTTCTGAGCATTTTAAGAACGGATTCTCTTTTCAGAATATCCTCCATCAGCATAGACAAGTGCTCAATGTTTCAGCAACTACTACAGTCTTTACTGTAAAATTTCTGTTGCATAAAGCAGCCTTTATTATACAAAAATATAATATAATTATATTTATTATATAAAATGACATACTGTCTGCACCTGACATGTTTAGTTTGTTGAAAACCTCTTTTAGTGTACGATAAGGCTTTTTAAGTTTGCAACTGATTATGTATGTATTTTACAGATCTCTGTTTACTGATTTTAGTTTTATATTTTGCGCCGTGGGTAATTTATTTTCTGCTGTTTTGTAGATCGTGTAACACTTAAATTGGGGCAGTGTTTCTTGATTAACTTCAGTTGAGAGGACAAAAAAAATACAGTTTTTGGGTTTTTTGTTTTTGGTTTTTTTTTTTTTATCCCCCACAGTATTCATGAATATCTTTGGGTCAGAGTTAAATATTTTCTGACTATCTGCTCTTGTCTGGATACTACTTCCTTGTAAATTGGAGTATTTGAAATCATTACTGTACTTTAAATTATACTGCATTTATTCCATATGTGGAGAACAGAAATAACTGTAGGAGGTTAATTTGCTAAATAGTGAGTTCTAGTTTTCTGACAACTGTTAAATCCAGTGCTACTCTATGAGAAACATTTGAAGTATTTAAGCAGTTCACATGAACATTTTCAGTTATTGAACGTTTTCATGAGGAACTGGCAGCCACCATAAATATTCTAACAAATACTGCTGCTGTTCTAGACTAGTCTAGCAGTGATTTAGTTGAATATCTATCTCTGTGTGTGAACCGTCCCTGATGAAGAATCTAATGCAAGAAATAATCACTTTTACAAATAAAAATCTGTTCTATACAGGGAAACGCTTATTATGGTGCCTGGTGGCACGATTACCTCAAGGGGTTAAAACATTCTCAAATGGTTTAACCCCAAAGTTGCCTTTCAGCAGTGATGTCCACCTCTCCCCTGTTGGCATCGGCTTCTAAATCTTCAGATTAGGAAGCGTGGGGTGCTGCTGGACTGGGGCACTGCTGATTAGCTGAGAGTGGTCAACTGAAGCTCTCCGCCAATAAGTGACTCCACTTTCACTTAACCGGCTTGGAAAGAAGTGTACCTTTTTCAAGCCAATTTAGTGAATATGGAGTCACTTACCACTCTCAGCCAATCAGCGGCACTCCTGCCAGATGCGCCAGGGAAGGAGTGGACATCGCCGCTGGTGGCAACTTTAGGGTTAAATTGTTGGAGAATGGTTTAACTCCTTGAGGTAAGTGAATATTATTATTATTATTTTGTTTTTTCCTAACAGTTTTCTGCTGGTGGTTTAACATTTAGCCTGTATTTTTTAACCAGAGTTAGATATAACTATGGGCGTGGTTGGTAGAATAGGTAAATTGATCAACTGCCATATGTGTTGTTTGCTTTGAATTATTTAATTTTATTAGAAAATGTCAGCCTTTTGGGTTTCAGAGCTATTGAACCATTTCATCCTCCATTTTGAATTCTAAGGGTTAATTACATTTATACAGCTCTTTGTTATATTAAGCACTAGCTTTATTTTTCTCCTTATACAGGATATTATTGAGTTAAGCCTGTAAAAGTGTTCTAAGAAACAGACTAAGCCACATTTTTGATTTGAAGATAATATAAAAGGTCACCTTATTGCAGGATTGCCACAAGAAAAAGATCCTCCTGGAAATGATTAGTTTTGTCGTTGTGTCTTTCCTAAATCAATGTTAGATATATATCTCTTTATAGTTGGTGATGGCTTCCATAAAGTCACAGTCACGGCTAATGCATTGTTAGTCTAATGCATTTCACGCTTGGAGAATAATTGGACAAGGATTGTTTAAAGAGGCTTGGTCACTTTGCAGGCATTGTTTTTGAATGCATGATTTTCTGTCCCTCTATTACCAATTGTTTTTATTTTAATTTATACATGACAATAAATAAGGGCTACTTTTTCGTATAGGGAGCGTGATCTTTGGTAATAAACGGTGCTTAAAGGACAACGGTCACTTCAAAAATATTTTTAGAATAATAATCCTTTCATTGTCTTTAGTAGTGTATGTAAAAAAAAAAAAAAAAAAAAAGAGAAACTCATCCCTACAGTTAGAATATGACCGGAACCTTCAGCCATATACATGCACTTTTTGTCAGAAAGTGTTTGAAAACAAACTGTTACAGGGTTAAGTCAGAATTAAAAGTAGATTGAAATTTAAGGCAAGACTAAGGCGGAATGGATATCATAGCTGACTTAGAGAAATTTTCCAGGTCAGCTATTTTGACCTTAAAATTGAAATTCACTTTGAATCCTCTTAGTAGTTATAATATTAGTAAACGCTCTTGATAGTCTCTGTGTCTTGCCTGCTTCCGTGCAGGGAAGGTCATAAAGAGTTTCGATTTTCAAACCCTGTCAAACAAAATGTGATTATCACAAACCATAAAGATATGTATATCTAACACTGATTTAGAAAAGACACAACAACAAAATAAAAACGTGCAGATTTTAATAGAAATTGGCATTTTTATAAATTGACTCTTTTACACCCTCTAGCTTTCTGTTATTTCCTAGTTTGGTTAGCTCAGTTAAGCTAAACTCGAGAAGCAGTAGCAATTGCCCAGAGCACTTGCCTTGCAAAGACTTTTCAATTATCTGTATTGGGAAGTATGTGATTGGACAGCCACAGAAAGTGTGGACCTGGGAAGAAGGGGAGGGCTTGCAAAGGCTGCAGACTAGAGACCTGCTGGTTTTCAAACTGTTTTTAGATATCTGCCCAATGGGGGGGTGGGGGGGAGCATAATTAAATGCATATATGTTTTCATTGGGCGTAACTCAACAGATTTTATTTATTTGGTACTTGTACAGTGGAGTGTCCTTTTTAAAGGAGAACGGTCACCTCAACACTATATTTGAATGTAAAGCCCTATTTCAAAGGAAATGGATTCTTTCCTCAATTAAGTATATTTAGAAAGAACAAAAAAAGTTGCAAGACTCAGCGATTCCTTTGTGTATATGACTGGATTCTTTAGCCATATACATGCACCTTTGATCAGACGTTGTTGGAATTTGACACTTGGTTAGTCTGATGTCTCTGCACTGTGCAGACTGGGAAGATAATCTGTATTCAAACATTGCAGTGTTACTTTAACAAACACAATTGTCCTGGAGCTTTCAGAAGCCAATTTGTGTAAAGTGTAAGACAGAAATATATTACAATGTTAGCATATCTATAAAGGTCTTGGTTTTTGTTTTGCTTTTTCTTCTTGTTTGGCTTTAAAGTGATATAAGGTAACCCGTGCAGTATTATCATTCTCATACAGGCCTTGGCAAAAAAACTAAAGGAAAAAAGGAAAATAAATCATCTTTGTTGTAAGGACAACATCATTTCCCAGTTTGACTTTGTATGTTATGTACATGCATATATTTATTTTAATAGATAGGACTTATAAAAGCATTCACAGATATATATTTTATTTTATTAATAGGGCATAATCATTGTATATATTTTTTTTTTTTTTTCAGGGAGAATTTTCACATTTGGTCCTGCTGGCAATGTTCGATTGTATTGATGACACCAAGCTTGTAAAGCAGATAATCATATCTGTAAGTACTTTCTCTTTTTTTTTGTGGTTTTTCTGCCTCGGTGCATTAAAGGACCACTATAGTGCCAGGAAAACATACTCTCCTCCTCCTTTCCTGTCATCGGCTGAATGCGCATGCGCGGCACGAGCTGTGCGTGCATTCAGCCAGTCCATAGGAAAGCATTCTCAATGCTTTCCTATGGACGCTGGCGTCTTCTCACTGTGAAAATCACAGTAGGAAGGGCCTCTAGCAGCTGTCAATAAGACAGTCACTAGAGGCTGGATTAACCCATAGGTAAACATAGCAGTTTCTCTGAAACTGCTATGTTTACACCAGGCAGGGTTAACCCTAGAGGGACCTGGCACCCAGACCACTTCATTGAGCTGAAGTGGTCTGGGTGCCTCTAGTGGTCCTTTAACAAATGTCAAACATCGTTAAATGAGTGATTATAGTGTAGTGAATCACTAACGTTTTCTATTCTCTCCAGCCATCCACCTTTTAGAGCTACAGGTATTTTGTCATGTTTGAACTTAATTATTTTGTCACTGGAAAATCTGTTTTTTGTAATGTAGTAAATGGGTGTTTACTACTACATAAAAACTCACCTCTGTCACAAAATATGTCATCTGTTTTTGAGAATATAATATACGTGGTATGGAGTGTCTTACATTATATTACGGCATGCAACATCTCAAGTTATAACAATATTAAAACATGCAAATATTCTTCATAAAACAACATATATGTTGAGAAAACCAATCTGAAGAAAATATAAATACACAGCCTCTCTGACTTTCCATAGTCCCTTCTGTAGAAATGACACCATTTAATAAAATATGGAATATCACCTTTAACTTTGAACATTTTTCCATTTGGTGCTCTGTTTATTCTAAAATGTATATTAAAGCTTCAGCAAGTGACATCACTCTTCAGTTAAGTCCAATAACTGCTAAAGCACAAAAGGCAAATGAGAAGATCAGCAGAAACTGTGTGTCTGTTTCCTCTCTTCCAATAACTATGCTCCTTGGCCCCAAACAGAAATGAGCAACAGTTACGATGATTGACATATTTGTCAGATATAGGGATTTGGTAAACCTAAAATTAGAGGACCATCTTAATGAAGTGGTTTGTGTGTTGTGGTCCTTTAGTTTTAACATTGCAGGATTAAACACCCTCTGGTAGTTGTCATACGAACAGCCAGTAGAGATGCTTCCTGTGTAACAACTGAGTCAGGATCATGTGACTTTCATATGAAAATCATTTGATTTGAAACACTTGCCGTACACGCATATCTCATTAGATTAGATAATCACCTCCATGTGATGTCACAAGAGGTGGATCGAGCAGTAGCATCAAGCGAGTCTTGGTGCTGCAAAAAAGAGATTAAATGTTTTTTTTTTTTTAAATCTATTTCGGGACTAGTTTACATGAAAGATGAGCAGTCACCACCACAAAGATGAGAAGTACTTTTTAGTTAATCTTTTATTTATTTATTTATTTTCTTCTCTTAATGTGTTTCTACATGGTAGGCATTCCTGAAATGTCTGACATTTGTAGAAAAGTTGGAAAATTAAATCTTGTAATTTCACTTTTTATATTCCTGATGAAGGCTTCCATGCAAATTGGTTACAGTATGGTAATTGTACAATTCTCCTATTTACAGTATTTTTCCATTTATCAGACTGAATTTTTTTTCCTAAAAATATTTAGTCTAAAATTGGGGGTCGTCTTATTCATGGAATATCACTGCAAGGGTTAAAAAATAAAAAACACTTGTGCGCGGGGCCTAAGTCAAGATGGCACCTGTCACAATGCAGTGTGCCACAGCCCACACATATATCCGGTTCCCCTCCCGCTGATCCATTTCTGAATGCTGTGGCAAGGAGGAAGAGGTCCCTATATGTGTAGGAGCTGCAGTAGACATCAGCAGTTACTACCACCTGAGCTCTAGAGACATGCCACACAATAGAAGGAGCAGCCATATTAAGGTTTGCTCCACCTCAGGTAGGTCTTACTTTCGGATATATATTTATAGGGAGCAAATGGGTATCGGGTGAATACTGCTGTGATGTCCCAGCATGCCCTCACACCACCTACTGTACTGCGGGAGCTGTAACCTTCCAGCATGCACTATAGAGCCAATAACTTCACAGAGTACCTTGGCACAGCGGAGGCATGAGAATCAGAAGTGTTGTTCTCCTCAGAAGTCACCTCTAAAATTTCAAAGTTGTCATATTTGATGTTAAAATTTTTATTTCTTAATTTTGGGCTCAAGAAATATGGTACACTGCATGTAACTCCGTTTACAATTCATGCACTTTGTTCACATCAATTGTAATATTAGCTGGACTGATGTGAAGTGTGGCAGCAACAAACCTAGAAACAATCCAGTAAACATGACAATTGTTTTCAAGTGTAGCTGGGGTTCATCACTCATGGGACAAAAGAAACATTATCCCAATGTTTATTTAATCCTGGCAGATAACCTTTTCCACTTTGCATTTTAAACACTGCAGTTAATGCTTAAAGGACCACTATAGTGCCAGGAAAACATACTCGTTTTCCTGGCACTATAGTGCCCTGAGGGTGCCCCCACCCTCAGGGACCCCCTCCCGCCCGGCTCTGGAAAGGGGAAAAGGGTTAAAACTTACCTTTTTCCAGCGCTGGGCGGGGAGCTCTCTGCCTCCTCTCCTCCTCCGTTCCTCCTCCTGGGCTGAATGCGCACGCGCGGCAAGAGCTGCGCGCGCATTCAGCCCGTCGCATAGGAAAGCATTTACAATGCTTTCCTATGGACGCTTGCGTGCTCTCACTGTGAAATCACAGTGAGAAGCACGCAAGCGCCTCTAGTGGCTGTCAATGAGACAGCCACTAGAGGATTAGGGGAAGGCTTAACCCATTCATAAACATAGCAGTTTCTCTGAAACTGCTATGTTTATAAAAAAAATGGGTTAACCCTAGAAGGACCTGGCACCCAGACCACTTCATTAAGCTGAAGTGGTCTGGGTGCCTAGAGTGGTCCTTTAAAGTTGTTTAACTCCATGTTGTCTGATATTCAATTGAAGCATCCATTCTGTAATAATTTGTCTCTTCCATGTAGCTGTTATGAATACAGTGACTCTCATCTTTGGTTGCAAAAGTAAAAAAATTGCACAGAACCTGAATGTTAACATCCCTATTTCAGTGACAATGTTTCCTTTTAGTGGATATACCCCAATATATTTAAACTAGACACTTATCTGACCTCCATCTATGATGGAGCCTGCACTGGATACATGAGCATCTGTCTAAATTACACACTGCTTACTGGGGATAGCAGGCACCCTGATGAGAGTGGCACAGAGGCCAGAGATATAGTTTATTTCATTATACACTTCCAGATGGTTGGCACAACATATAGATTAAAATTAGACTGTTTTATTTTGCTTGCTTTTTTGCTCCTTTTGAAGTATTTGGCTTCCCAGCAGGAATGGCCTAGGCAGTCTGCTGGTAAACGTTTGCTTGCCAGCCTGTCACATCAGCTGTGCCTGATTAACTTGACAACAGAATCTCTACAAAGCACCTTTCATGCAAGTCTACGGCTTATTATGGTCAGGATCCTGCCTCTTTCATGCCACAAATCCTGATGGTTTTGCAGCCTAGTTGTAATCCAGCACATTGCATCCTAATTGCGAAGGGGAATCTGTACGGATTCTGCCAGGCCTCCAGTTTCGTGGTTACACACAAGCATTTTAAGCCACTGGACTGCCTTTGACCATGTGATTTGTATACTTTTATATTTATTATTTTTCATCTTTACCACAAGGTTTCAATTGTTTATGATTTTTTTTTTATTTTTATTTTGTTGTTTAATTCTATTTTTACAGTTTTTAGCTTAGAAAAATAGGCTGATTATATTAGAGGGGGAAAAAATCCCGAGTCTTTTTACTGCTTGGTAATTTGTCACTAATGACTATCAGGCTTTTGTAATTTAGGCATACTTGGTTATGCTAGGAACACAGTGCTATAGAAAGTTCATCTATTTTAAAGTCTGAGCACACGTATAACAACACGTGCTTCTATTTTCAAAATCTATAACAATGTAGAGCACTTAAAACATTGTCTGTTTTGTTATATGATCATGGTATCGGTCACGTGACCTCTTCAGAATTTTAAAGCCGTATAGTTGACACCACCTTTATCTTGCAGTTTACAAATTGTTTAAATGGTTTGCTTTCCAGCTGTTGATAAAGCGTTTGTAGTTAACGCAAAATGCATCCAGGTCTTGTGGGCATGTAATAGTGGCTGTCTACCCTCCCTCCAACCCTTTTCCTATATTCAGCTAATTTTGTCATGTCATATGCATTTTGAGGTCAGATGTCAAAGTGGAAAATGATCCACTTACACAGCTCAGCTTGCCTGGTTGTTATGCATTGCATTTTAGAGGTAAAGGTCAGAATTTTGTGATTTTACTTAGAAAGTTATCTGTTTTGGGAAATGCAAAAGAGTTTGCACATTTATTAAAATTTTGCAAAGAGTAGTTTGTTGCTTATCTGTTTTGCATGTATATATTGTCTACTGTCCACTTTATCTCTTCTGTCCTTTACTGACACTGAACTTTTACAATGCTGTCGTCTTTAAGTAAGTCTCTTTATCCTTTTACCAACTGTTACCAGGTCAGTGTAATGGAAACGTGGGATTAAGAAGAGATTAGTTAAAGAAAGCCACATATTTACTTAACTCACCAGCGTCATACACGGTCACATAATACATTGTTACTGTTTCCTCGTGTGTTATTACGGAATACTTTTATTTATTCTGGCACCATGGTCTTCAAATAATTACGTGGTTAACCACGTGGAAAATAAATAATCCCTTTCCCTGTTAGACATTAAATAAAAACTCATTGGTATAGTTGTGTTTGAAAGTATTTCATTCATTCTACTTCTGGCACAATAATATTTGACATTATGCTTTGTTTATTGATTCGTGTAAATGTTCTCGCTCTACAACTTAAAGGAACATTATAGGGTTATGAACACAAACCTGTATTCCTGAGCCTGTTGTGTTAAAACAACCATCTATCTCTCTCCCCTCCCCCCCCACACACCTCTTGTCCTACCTAAATATAGCAAAATCTTTCCTTTATTCCAGTTTGCTGTTGCTGGTGCCGTCCCTAATCTGCCTGCTTGGCTGACTTAATCAGAACTGGTGTTCTGAGCCAATCACAATGCTATCACATAGGAAAACATTGGGTTGGCTGAGACTGTCAAGGAGGCAGATCAGGGGCAGAGCCAGCACAAGCCAAACACAACCATGACCAATCTGCATCTCTTCATAGAAATGCATTGAGTTAAAGCATCTCTATGAGGAAAGTTCAGTGTCTCCATGCAGAGGGTAGAGACAGTGAATGTCAGTGCCCCAGGAAGCACCTCTAGCAGCCATCTGAGGAGTGACCAATGGAGGTATCCCTAGGTTGTAATGTAAACACCGCCTTTTCTCTGAAAACCGTGCAAAAAGCCTGCAGGGGATGATTATACTCACCAGAACAAATACAATAAACTCTAGTTGTTCTGGTGACTACAGTGTCCCTTTAACCCCTTAAAACATGAGGGCGTACTATTACGCCCTATTCTAACGCCGCAGGGCGTAATAGTACACCCTCCAGGTTTTTTTTATTTTTTTTACTTATAGGAACAGAGTGATGAGACATCACTCCATTCCAACATTGGCAACTAAGACAGTGTGACAACATCTCTAAAGAGATTTGCCCTGCTTAGCAATGCGTCCCAAGCAGGGCAGATGATCTCAGTGATGTCTGTATGCTGGCTACATGGCCGCCATTGGAGAGAGTAACATCTCGTCACTGTGTGTGTGTGTGTGTGTGTGTGTGTGTGTGTATATATATGTGTATGTATGTATGTATATATATATATATGTGTGTGTGTGTGTGTGTGTGTGTGTGTGTGTGTGTGTGTATATATATATGTGTATATATATATATATATATATATATATATATATATATATATATATATGTATGTATATATATATATATATATATATATATTAATTATAGTGTGTGAGTATAAAACGAGTTTTTCGGCACATTTTTTTTGTGCTGAAAAACCCCCACTCGTCTTATACTCGAATCAGTGTCTGTATTATGGCAACTTAATTGCCATAATACAGACCAGGACCGCCGGGCTCATTACAAGCCCGGCGGTCCAGTTGGGGGCTGGCAGCAAGCTGTAACTTACCTTTCCTGCAGCTCCTGTCCCTTCTCCTCCACTGTAAGTCTCGCGAGAGCCGCGGGGGTCAGAGCGTTGCCACAGGTTACTTAGAACGCGAGACTTACAGTGGAGGAGGAGGGAGCTGACAGGAGCTGTGGGAAAGGTAAGTTACAACTCGCTGCCAACCCCCTCCTACACAGCCCATGCCACTAGACCACCAGGGAATGAGAGCCCCCCTCCCTGGCCATGTATCAAGCAGGGAGGGGGGACAAAAAAATATAAATAAAAATTTAAATAATATAATAAAAAATTTAATAATATTAAAATAAAATAAAAATATTAAAAAACAAAATGTAATATTATAATTTTAAAAAATAATAAAAATGCATTCATACACACACTGCATTCATATACACACACACACTGCATTCATTATATACACAAAATAAATATTCAATTAATGTAATTTTTTGGGGATCTAATTTTATTTAGAAATTTACCAGTAACTGCTGCATTTCCCACCCTAGTCTTACACTCGAGTCAATAAGTTTTCCCAGTTTTTGGGGGTAAAATTAGGGGTCTCTACTTATATTCGGGTATACTTATATTCGGGTCGACTTATACTCGAGTGTGTGCGTATATATGTTTGTGTGTCATGTCCTCTTTAAATGTTTATTAAAGGGACACTATAGTCACCAGAAAAACTACAGCTTATTAAATTTGTTCTGGTGAGTAGAATCATTACTTTCAGGCTTTTTGCTGTAAACACGGTCTTTTCAGAGAAAATGCAGTGTTTACATTACAGCCTAGTGATAACTTCACTGGCCACTCCTCAGATGGCTGTTAGAGATTCTTCCTTGGTCATGGCTGCCTAAAATGCATCCAAACATTCAGTGTCTCCTCCCTCTGCATGCAGACACTGAACTTTCCTCATAGAGATTCATTGATTCAATTCATCTCTATGAGGAGATGCTGATTGGCCAGGGCTGTTTGAATTGTGCTGGCTCTGCCCCTGATCTGCCTCCTTGTGAGTCTCAGCCAATCCTATTGGGAAGCATTGTGATTGGATCAGGCCACCGCTTCTGATGATGTCCACAGACAGCTTGTTTTTCTGAGGCAAACATGCAGAGCTACAGCTTCAGGCTTTGATACAAGTACGATTTTACTATATTTATGGAGGCATGATGGGCCCAGGGGGGCTAGATGGTGGTTTTAACACTATAGGGTCAGGAATACATGTTTGTGTTCCTGACCCTATAGTGTTCCTTTAACTATTTGGTGAATTACATCCTAATCCAGCAAATATTGCAAATGAAGAGAGGAAATAGAAACATTGTAGGTTTTCTCTGTGTTGACTGCCCTGTGCAAAAGGAGTTAAGATGGCAGTGCACAGTTGCAGAATAAAGAAGTGTGGATATCTACATTTCATTTTATATTTTATGCTTTACAAATATTTATATGTAGGGTATCCATAATATAAAATATAATTTATACTTTTTTTTTTTTTTTTTTATTGTAACTTGTTCATTATAGTCTCGAAGGAGTTCACAAAATGTGAATATTTCCAAAGCACAATGAATACTCCTTTCTAGTTCTTCTCTCTGCTTCTTTTGTTACATACGAATGTTTGCATTCAATCTAAGTATCTACACACACACAACTCTATAAAGGTGACCTTCACTCAAAATGCTTGAGTGCCACACTTAATTAATAGTCAAAAGATTGCTGTCTGTGTAGATAACATGCATGAATTCAATTCACTTAGTGTGTTATGTTTCAAAAGACCTCGCTGATGAGACATAATGTAGAACAATCTATTGTTGAGCAGCTGTGACCCTAGAAAAAGCACATTTTAATTGTGTATGTGAGCAAAGATTATATAGACCATAGTGTGCTAGAGGCCCCTTCTTCTGACTCAGCTTGGTAGGGAATCACACTGCGGGAGTTTATACAGTTGGATGGTTCATGTTCTGTTTTTTTGTGAAAGTTGCCGTTGAGTCTAAAGCACTTTCTTTTTCAGATCTAGTAATGCAGAAATATAAAAAATGTCTCCATCCTAGAAAAACTGTTTATCCTTCCAAATCAAAACTGAATTAATGGCTGTCGCTGCTGCCTCCTTATGTAACTCTCACTAATCTCTGGCAGGCCAGGGTATCACTAGGTGTCCGTCCTCTGTACAGTGTGTTTTGTTTTTTCTTTCTATGGAACACTGCCATATCACTCACTATTAAGTACAAGATTTGAACACCTGACCTGCCTGTTGTACTAGCAGATTGCTATATGCAGAGGAATCATTGGGAATGCTGACACTGATATCCCCCACACACCCCTTTCACAGCACTTTTCATGTACTTAATCGTGATGGAAGTCTGGGCCACACAAATGTCTGTATCAGTAGAACCGAACTTAATTGTGTGTGTGTGTTTGTTCTCCATATATACTTGGTACATGCTTGTGGGTGCAGGCAATCTGATCTACGGAGTAAATCCCTGTTATTACAGAGCTAGCGCTTTCAGTATTTTATTGTTTAAACAAAACACATATGCTTTTTATTTAAATTATCGGTCTACCTAATTATCAATCTGAATTGACTGCGTGATTATAAATTGAATGTATTGCAAAACGCAGCAGATAGGCTCAGGTTAAATAATTAGCCTATTGGTACAATTTGGCTACTAACTTCCTTCTATAGTAAACATATCTCTGCTAACCTATCTGCCTCAAGAGAAAGTTTTGCTGGTGCCCATGCATAATCCTCAAACATGTTTGAGTTGAAACACATACAAAGTTATTTAATAAAAAATTCAAAGTGAATTTCACAATTTAAGGCCAGAGTAGCTGAACCGTAAGCATAGCTGACTTAGACACTTTTTTCAGTTTGGCTATTTTACCCTTTAAATTTAAAGGGTTCACTTTAAATGATCAACTTTAGTGAATAATCTGTTACAATGTGCTGTTTTATCTTTTTATTTTTGTCTGTGTCTTTATTACAATGATGCATCTGCTTTCCTTCCTTGCAAAAGAGCGATTAAGCCATGAAAAATTCAGTAGCTCAGTCACCACTAAGTAGTCCTGATTTCTATTTAATCATAAAGATGGAGTAATTAATTGAAAGTATTGATTTCCTACTGATATTTATTTCATGTTACTGCCAATCCGGCAGGTGGGACACATACGAACATGGTAAATAACGCTCTTCTTATTAGACATTACTGGCTAACCTATATTTTGTTTTTTCCCCTCTTTTTAGGAACTTGTCAGCTGCTTGCCAAACATTATCGATAACAAATATGGAAGAAAGGTGTTACTGTATTTGCTGAGTTGGCGTCATCCTGCACATTTCCTGCCAGAGATAATTGAGGTGCTTAAGCAAGGTGATGAAAATGCAAACAGGTATGTAGAACTTGCCATTCACGAGAAAGAGAATGCATTATTGTCCCTTCTGCATCAGACAAGCTTGGTTTTGATATCCATAGTGGACTAAAGATTGCCATCTCCACATAGTACAGGTAGGCCAGGAGATGCACTAAAGAGTTCATTTACTTAGATGTATTTATTACAAAATAATATACATCAAGGTTGTATCACATGCAACTATTATTATTTTCAGTGTTAACAATGTCAGAATAATTACATTGTAAGTACTATTTAAAGTTACTAGAATTTCTTACTCATTTAAATTTTCTGTATACAGCATTTAATGCACAGTATGCATGACACTCCATACCGTCTTGGAGCTTAGGAACAATACAGTTATGATATAATTAAATATTATTGCTCTTCGAGAGATTAAACTATTGTACAAATAATATATCGTCCTTTCATGTTTACTTAGCTGCTTGGTATGACCTGGTTATGCTTGACTGCGTAGTTGTTAAATTTTGCTGCTGATTTTTACTGTTCTCTTGCTTGCTACTTACTGTATTATTATATGTATAAGATGCCCCCATGTATAAGACGACTCCTATTTTTTGAGCCCAAAATTAAGAAATCAATATTTTAAACATCAAATAGAACAACTTTGATATTTTAGAGATTACTTCTGTGGAAAACAGCACACTTCTGATTGTCATGCCTCCCCTGTGCTACGGTTCTCTGTGAAGTTAATGGCTCCATAGTACATGCTGGGAGACTAAAGCTCCCACAATACAGCAGGTGGTGTGAGGGCATGCTGGGACATCAGAGTAGTATTCCTTCTGCTCCCCAATCCCCATTTTATTCCAGATAAATTTAAATCCAAAAGCAAGAGCTACCTGAGGTGGATCAAACCTTAAAGGATCACTGTAGGGTCAGGAACACAAACATGTATTCCTGACCCTATAGTGTTAAAACCACCATCTAATCCCCCTGGGCCCCTCATGCCTCCATAAATGTAGCAAAATCTTACTGTATTCAAGCCAGAAGCTGTAGATCTGCATGATGTTTGCCTAAAAAAAACAAGCAGTCTGCTGACATCATCAGAAGTGGTAGTCTGATCCAATCACAATGCTTCCCCATAGGATTGGCTGAGACTGGCAAGGAGGCAGATCAAGGGCAGAACCAGCATGATTCAAACACAGCCCTGGCCAATCAGCATCTCCTCATAGAGATGAATGGAATCAATGAATCTCTATGAGGAAAGTTCAGTGTCTGAATGCAGAGGGCGGAGACACATTTTAGGCAGCCATGACCCAGAAAGGATCTTTAACAACCATCTGAGGAGTGGCCAGTGAAGTTATCACTAGGCTGTAATGTAAACACTGCATTTTCTCTGAAAAGACAGTGTTTACAGCAAAAAGCCTGAAGGTAATGATTCTACTCACCAGAACAAATTCAATAAGCTGTAGTTGTTCTGGTGACTATAGTGTCCCTTTAATATGGCTGCTCCTTTTATGGTGTGGCATGTCTCTGGAGCTCCGTTGGTGGCAAATGCTGATGTCTGCTGCAGCTCCCATGCATTAAGGGATCTCTTCCTCCTTGTCATAGCATTCAGAAGTTGTTCGGCAGGAGGGAGGCCAGGTATGTGTGTGGGCCGTGGCACACTGAAATGCGTCAGGTGCCATTTTAACTTAGTTCCGCGCACAAGTGTATTTTTAAACTCCTGTAGTGAGATTTCGTGTATGACGACCCCCAATGTTTAGACTAATAAAATGTAGAACATGGAAAAATACAGTACTTGTTAAAGTGACTGGAGACTAAATAACGAGGCGACAAATCAATCTTTCCTCCACACATTGATCCCTTGTGGCCTTTGAAGTTTTGACAGGGGTTCTGTACTGTAAAACTTATACAAGAGATTTGTGTGTTTACTTTAATGCAAGTATCCGGTTTCTTTGTGACAGACCTGTTAAAGTTAAAACACTGGCCGCAATTATCATATTGTTTGTTACTTCTCCACCTGTGCTTGCCACAAGTCTTTTAATACTATTCACTTACAAGTACCACATGCAGCTCCAGCAGCATGTAACAATAATAGAATTAACATGCAGAAAGTTTGCTGCTTAGCAGACCAGAAGCATGCAACATTCATAAATGATAAAGCATTATTGATGCATAACACTTCTCTGAATTTTATTTACCTTTTTTGTTTTAAAATGTGATTATTTTCTTGCAGATGTATGTGTTATTGTAGGTTTTCAGAATATTTTCCTGCAAGGCAGTTTTTCATAGTTTCCTACGTATTTGCAGGAAAACGGAATTAAATGTCCATATTTAACAGTTTGGAGTTTGTAATATTGCAACTCGATTTTAAACTGCTATTTAAGCTTTCAGTTAGTGTTGTGAGAAATGTTACTTGTTGCCTTGCTCGTAAAACACTTTTGCATAAGATTTTTTTATTTTCTTTTTAGCAAGAAAAATACAGCAGTTAGGCAGCGTGAATTGCTGGATGTAATTTCTCCACCTCTACTTAAACACCTTGAGGAGAACACACAAGATTTGGTATTCCAGACTGCCTTATGTGCTTTGGTCACGAGCATTGTGCTGTATGCAGCAGGGGATCCAGAGCCTGTCATGTCTGCCATAGCCAATATGGCAGCAGAGGAGTTTGTTGCCGGGGGCAAGAATGGAGAGGTAATGTCACTCGTTAAACATTGTCAATACTATGTTCACTGCATCCTTTTTTTTCCATAAGACCCTTCACATAAGCGGTTATTTGCTAAACAGGGAATTGTGGATTATTTACTTTACAATGATAAGTCTGAGCGGTTGCCCACTGTATTGTTTCCCATCTCACACACCTGGCCTTTTCATAAATACAGACATTGATCTTTGTGGAAGCTAGATAACTGGTGTATCTATCCGTGGCTCCCGAGGGAGAAAAAGGTTTGCTCTGTACCTATATTCAGAATGGTGCACAGTAGGACATAAGAGGTTTACAAGATTCCTTGCCAATTCTTAGCATTGTTGTGATGCAAGTTTCACTGAGGGGATGTTCTGTTGGAATGTGATTGTATAATGGGTGCTTCATTTACAAAACATGAGACTGATACTGTCCTGATTCTTTTTCTTTAAAGCTTCACATTGCAGAACATCCTGCAGGTCACCTGGTGTTGAAATGGTTGATAAAGCAAGATAAAGACATGAAAGAAAACGGCAAAGAAGGTATGGTACATGTTGATCCGTCTAACTCTATGCAATTATTTATTCACAATGCCTCTGTTTTCTTGTTGCAATTATATAAAATGAAAGGCTGCCCTGACATAGCTTGACATAGATTTAAATTGCACGTCTCAGAATTTCATGTGTGTGCATGTCACATGGTAAAAGCTGGCTGACCATTTGGATAGGCAGTGAATGAAAGTGTCATCATGCCACTTGCTTTAGTTACACAGTTTTTGACAGTAATTGCTTTAATAGCTTTTTAAAGAGGTGATGTAAAACAGTCCCCGACAAAAAATATCTTTCAGAAATTTGCATTGCAGTTGTTCTGTCTTAAATGTGTCGGCACCCAGTTAACAGCTTAACGGTTGGAACAAAATGACAACCACAGAAATGAGCAGCTTCAGAGTTACCAATACAGCTTTATTGTCCTTTTAAGAAATAATTTTATATATCAGAGAATGCCATGAGGCATTTCCTGAAAATTATATTTCCCATAATCCCTGGTACAATCACATTGTATCAATGTGTTTATTTTGCTCATTTCCAAGTTGGTCCTCCCATTGAGTATTTTGAGAAAGCAGTTTATAAATTCAAAAATGAGCAAATCATATATACTGACACAATTTTATTATACCAGATGATCATTGGAGTAAACAAATGTAATTCACATTAATTGTGTTGTGTTGGCCATTTGCAGAATTGTATTGTAATGCCAAAGTACATGGACCTGTTCATCTAAAAAAAGAAAAGTATTTAAAAAAAAAAAATCCACATGTTTCTCTCTCTTGCCTTAGTTATACTCTTATTATCTCAAGTGTGAATGCGCCTTCTTAACATAACATTCATTATGGCCATTTACATGTCTGAAGTTGCCCGAGTTACATTGTGTGTATTTGTTGAAACATGCAGTTGCCTGGCTTCCTGACAATTGTCATATATTGCTTTGCTCTCTGATAAGACACAATGGGTCATGTTGGGACTCAGCCTGACGTATTCAAAGAAATTAGTTTGTTTTTTTTAATGTGCCAAATTGTGTTCTGCCGCTCACATAACTATTGGATTTCTATGTGTCACTGACTAAATCTGCTGTCTGTTTACAGTTCCAATCTTTTTTTTACTATATTTGTTTAAAGCATATTTCAGTCATTATGTTTCTACAGTATGAGTAAGTCTATGGGCAACCTGCTTAGTATATAATTCATTTGATGCTTTCTCTCCAACACAGGCTGTTTTTCCAGAACGCTGGTGGAACATGTAGGCATAGAAAACCTCAGCTGTTGGGCCAAGGTTAACAGAGGAGCAATCGTCCTGTGCTGGTAAGGAAAACGTTGTTGTTCATTATTTTGCTTGAAATAGATTGTTTGTATGCCCTATCAATTTGTCGTTTATTTGGTGAGTTAACATGCCTTTTCTAAATAGCTGAAGAATATATTGGTGCTGTATCAAATATAATGACTGTTTAATATGTGGGTGCCATGATCACAGTGTGTGTGTATGTGTGTGTGCGTGTGTGTGTGTGTGTGTGTGTGTGTGTGTGTGTGTATATATATATATATATATATATATATATATATATATATATATATATTACATCACATAGAGATTTGACATTCGTTAGTAACTCAGTAGATAACATACATATACAGAGTAACAATAAGCGTAATAGAGAGTGACTGCACTTTTTTAAGTAACTAAGTAAAAACATGCGAAGAGTAACAATATCTTACATAGTGGTCAGATAGGAGATCAATAGAAATAAACAGGACATGTTTAATGCTGCACTTTTTAAAGGGTTGATCATGACCCATACCCTAGAGATTTACACAAGGCATATAATTGTAAGAGAGGTCATATACAACTATCACTTTATTGTAAAGATAAGTGAAAGTAATATTAGGTATAGAAAACTGCGCAATAACTATATAATACCTTGAACTGCAGCAAAAGCACTGTGAACAGTTACAGATATTACAATATTAACCCCTTAAGGACACATGACGTGTGACATGTCATGATTCCCTTTTATTGCAGAAGTTTGGTCCTTAAGGGGTTAAGTAGCACCGACATCTGAAAAACAAAGGGAATTACTTCCTATTTTGTGGCACCGTGAGATCTTTTTCCATGGACAGCTACGCTTTTTAAAGTATGATGCAGCCCTTAAAGTGAGAACTTCATGCATAAGTGAATGTTAGCTGAAGCTGTTTCCAGTATCTTGTACCCAGGTGTTCATTCATCTTTAAAAAAAAAAAAAAAAAAAAGTCCTGCGCTCACTCCCATCACTCCTGGGCGACAGCAACGACCACAGTACACATCAGCCCCAATATATAGGGGCAAATGTGTTACTATTAAGGGTTAATAAGTATATAGGGATGTATATAAAAAATACCCCTCTCTGTCTCATTAGAGAGATCTTTGCCAGAAGCTCAAGGAAGCGAGGTGAAGGGTCAGTGTAGGACTCGCTTAGGGGGTTTGCCTTGACGTTGGCAGGTGGGCATTCCCTCCAATGGCAATTGGAGTAACTAAATGACCTCCATTTGTTTAAATATACATGGGAATTAAGGAGACAGCGCAGGTAACTTTCTTTTTTTTTTTGGTTCATTCATCTTTACCAACGTGTTTGGGCTCTTATTGTATTCATTTTTGTGAGGAATTCCCAAACGTTCATGTAAATCCCCCTCTCCTCCCCCCAATATGGTTGAATAGGAGATCAGAAATTGGAGAGTCTTTATATTATTTATGTAGATATTGCAAGATTTCTAGATATCCTTTTTTTCTGCTGTCACTTTAATGCACTATATGTCTGATGAAGCACACACGGTCAGACAGACCCTGATGATTCTTGTTCACGCCTGCTAGTTTTCTCGTTCCTCATATTCAGGAACGGTTTGCTCTGCTTTCTGTTCAGCTGTGTTTGCTTGTCACACTTGTAGAAAAGCAAAATAGCCAGAGTAGGATTACATGTGTTTTCTCTCTTTTCTTCCCAATCTGCCAATATTGGCATGGTGTGTGTACCGCATTTTAGTCTTTAGCTGAACTAGAAGCAAATTGGTAGTGTTGGAGGCAATACTTGTGCTCCATTATTGATAACACAACATGGCATTGTTGGGCAAATAGACTTAAACAAAACTATTTTATATTGAAAATCTCGTCTTATCCCTGAGTTTTATTTTTATCCCATTTATGAAAAGTACAATTTATTGTAGGACACTGCTTGTTCATTATTATGATACTGTCATTTTTACTAGCGTTAATACTGTATTTGATTTTATTTACTTATATTTTATTTTATATTTTTTTTTTAAATCTCCTTTAGCCTTCTTGAGAGCTGTGATGAAGAACTTTCCTGTAAAGTAAAAACTGGACTCAAGAATTTGGTGTCGAAACCAAAAGACTCTATAAATACAAAAGCAATTGATGCCTTAATAGAAAAGTTGAATTCTCCCTAGTGATTGCTTGTTTTATGTCCTGTTAAGATTTTATCCCTTTTTGTACCCCAGGAGTATGTAATACCAATGCATTGCACAACCACCTTGGCAGGGAAAGTGTTAACCTTTCCCATGTACCCAGAGAGAGACTGTAATAATGTTTTATATGTATAAATAAAACGCCTTTACCAACCCAGTGGCAATATTTCTTCAGTATGATGCAACTTGCAGGATAAGTATTACTTTAAAAAAATGTCAGAAAGATTAGCAAAAGTGCACAGCTTTGTTACTACAATTATCATAATGGTTGTGAGTATGCTGTGGGGACACACCCAGTGCATGTCATAACGGTTAAATCGCATATTCTATTTATACCCATATGCACACATGCAGAACTCTAAGGAACAACTTAATTACAGAAAGCTTTCTGTACTTGAAATAGGCAGTCATTTCCTGGTTGTAAATGATTGTTTTGCTTTTATTTTTTACTAAGACAGCATTCTGCCCTAAAACTCAACCCCTGCGTTTGTTTGGTGCAGAATTACTTTAACACCTTAAGGACACATGAATGTCTGACATGTCATGATTCCCTTTTATTCCAGAAGTTTGGCCCTTAAGGGGTTAAAGACAATTGAGTGCTGGTACTTAGAATATTGTTCTTACAGTATATGATGCAACTTGAAAATTGCTGGTGAGCATCTTCTAGACTAAATAGCTAGAATTAAGATAACGGATTTGAAAAGCTCAGACAAAAATTTTAAATTAAAGGACCACTCTAGGCACCCATACCACTTCAGCTTAATGAAGTGGTCTGGGTGCCAGGTCCAGCTAGGCTTAACCCATTATTTTATAAACATAACAGTTTCAGAGAAACTGCTATGTTTATGAATGGGTTAAGCCTTCCTCCAAAGCCTCTAGCGGCTGTCTCATTGACAGCCGCTAGAGGCGCTTGCGTGATTCCCACTGTGAAAATCACAGTGAGAGCACGCAAGCGTCCATAGGAAAGCATTGATAATGAAACACTACCAAGCATTGATAATGCTTTCCTATGCGACCGGCTGAATGCGCGCGCAGCTCTTGCCGCGCATGCGTATTCAGCTGACTGGGAGGACCGGAGGAGGAGGAGAGCTCCCCGCCCAGCACTGGAAAAAGGTAAGTTTTTACCCCTTTCCCCCTTCCAGAGCCGGGCACTATAGTGGTCCTTTAAGGGCTCAAGTTTACCGTTTTATGGCCTCCACCATCAGTACGAACTCTAATTCGGTAAAGAATGCTTTCAAGCAAGGAAAGGCAACCAAAGGCCTACCGGCCAGACCGTGACAATACACCAACCCCATCACCTTATTTATAAAATGCTAGCCATCCTGCCCACGCTCTACAAAAGATCAGAGCCCTGCTGGCAATGCTTAGCTGTCACGATTCACTAACCTGACATGCAGAACTTAAGTAAACAATGATATATGTATGTTGTTGGATTAAAGCATATCTGCCTTATAGCAGTACAAGACAAGGTCAGGAAGACAGTAGCATAAACGAGAGAACTAGCCAGAAGTCAGGGACAATGGATAGATGGTCAAGAGCAAGCAAAGATCATAAAAGCCAAAGATATACAAGGATAATATGCTCTCGGAATAACCAGGGCACAGTACAAAACCAAAAAAGATATTGTATAGCTTTAAGAAAGCAGCCATTGTTCACTTTGACCCATGTGATACCAGGATGTGCGTGTGTCTCTGGTGTGATGATGCACGCACATTTTTGTAATTAACTCTGTCAGAGTGGATGGAAGACTTTAAAAGGCTCTAGCGTGAATCAGCTGGTTTTAGTAGGATGCCAGAAGGAGTGGCGGCACATTAGAGAGGGACATTGGCCCTGCTTGTGGTGTATATACGGACCTCATAGGAACAGGTGCCATGGCAATAGCATGGTAGTTCATAAAGATGTTTGTGTGTGTTTCTGCATGATTGTGTCTGAATGTGCAAGTGTGTCTGTATGAGTGTGCCTGTATGGCTGTCTGTTTACGATGTATCTCTATGACTGAGTGTGTGTGTATGTAACCTAGAAACATAGAATGTGATGGCAGATAAGAACCATTCGGCCCATCTAGTCTGCCCAATTTTCTAAATACTTTCATTAGTCCCTGGCTTTATCTTATAGTTAGGATAGCCTTATGCCTATCCCACACATGCTTAAACTCATTTACTGTGTTAACCTCTACTACTTCAGCTGGAAGGCTATTCCATGCATCCACTACCCTCTCAGTAAAATAATATTTCCTGATATTATTTTTAAACCTTTGCCCCTCTAATTTAAGACTGTCCTCTTGTTGTGGTAGTTTTTCTTCTTTTAAAGTCTCCTCCTTTACTGTGTTGATTCCCTTTATGTATTTAAATGTTTCTATCATATCCCCCCTGTCTCGTCTTTTCTCCAAGCTATACATGTTAAGATCCTTTAACCTTTCCTGGTAAGTTTCATCCTGCAATTCATGAACCAGTTTAATAGCCCTTCTCTGAACTCTCTCTAAATTATCAATATCCTTCTGGCGATACGGTCTCCAGTACTGCGTACAATACTCCAAGTGAGGACTCACCAGTGTTCTGTACAATGGCATGAGCACTTCCCTCTTTCTACTGCTAATACCTCTCCCTATACAACCAAGCATTCTGCTAGCATTTCCTGCTGCTCTATTACATTGTCTGCCAACCTTTAAGTCATCAGAAATAATCACCCCTAAATCCCTTTCCTCAGATGTTGAGGTTAGAACTCGAACAAATATTCTGTACTCTGCCCTTGGGTTTTTACGTCCAAGATGCATTATCTTGCACTTATCCGCATTAAATGTCAGTTGCCACAACTCTGACCATTTTTCTAGTTTACTTAAATCATTTGCCCTTTGGCTTATCCCTCCTGGAACATCAACCCTGTTACATATCTTAGTATCATCAGCAAAAAGACATATCTTACCATCAAGACATTCTGCAATATCACTAATAAAAATATTAAAGAGAATGGGTCCAAGTACAGATCCCTGTGGTACCCCACTGGTGACAAGGCCAAGCTTCGAATATACTCCATTGACTACAACCCTATGTTGCCTGTCATTCAGCCACTGCCATATCCATTCTACAATATTGGAATCCAAACTTAAAGATTGCAGTTTATTGATAAGGCTTCAATGTGCAACAATGTCAAAAGCTTTACTGAAATCTAGGTAAGTAACGTCTACTGCACCACCATGATCTATTATTTTAGTTACCCAATCAAAAAAATCAAATAAGATTAGTTTGGCAGGACTATGCATGACTGTCTGTCTATTATTGAGTGTTATGTGTGATTTTTAAGTGTTTTGAAAAGCAACAGTTTGATAAATCCATTATATCGCAGGAAACTGTATATATTTAAAGGAACACTAGAGTCACCTAAATTACTTTAGCTAAATAAAGCAGTTTTAGTGTATAGATCATTCCCCTGCAATTTCACTGCTCAATTCACTGTAATTTAGGAGTTAAATCAGTTTGTTTCTGTTTATGCAGCCCTAGGCACACCTCCCCTGGCTATGATTGACAGAGCCTGCATGAAAAAAAAAACTGGTTTCACTTTCCAACAGATGTAATTTACCTTAAATAATTGTATCTCAATCTCTAAATTGAACTTTAATCACATACAGGAGGCTCTTGCAGGGTCCAGCAAGCTATTAACATAGCAGGGGATAAGAAAATCTTAATTAAACAGAACTTGCAATAAAGAAAGCCTAAATAGGGCTCTCTTTACAGGAAGTGTTTATGGAAGGCTGTGCAAGTCACATGCAGGGAGGTGTGACTAGGGTTCATAAACAAAGGGATTTAACTCCTAAATGGCAGAGGATTGAGCAGTGAGGATGCAGGGGCATGTTCTATACACCAAAACTGCTTCATTAAGCTAAAGATGTTCAGGTGACTATAGAGTGCCAAAGCAACAGATGAGAAGAAACAATTACTGTATTAACATTTTTTTTTTTTTTTTTTAAATACACACAACCCCATCACACTCAGCCAGACATAATCACACAACCAGGACTTATTACAGTCAGCAATAACCACAAACTAACATTTACTCAATCCACACACACAATTACACTTGACCAACCATGTACACACCCCATGCACAGCACATGCGCACCACTCAAGCATCCCATTATATATATATATATATATATATATATATAATACTCAAACACAAATGAGTTTTGTGATACATTCATGCATTCTATACATCACTGACTTTATTGCTGTGTGATATATACAAACATACTGGACATCTCAAAGTTTTATTATAATGTTAGAATAGTTAAATGTTAGGCAGGATTTTATTTACACTTTTCAATTGCATTTGTATGGTTTTACCGAGCCCCCTGGTTGTGGCAGTGAAGGGTGGCCCTTTTAAAAAAAGGTCAGTGCTGTCAGAGGGGAACAGTGAAACACTACCAAGAAAGAAAAAAAAAAAAAAAGGTGGGGGGAGGTTTGATAAACTAATAGGTAGAAAAGTGCACGTGGAGAGAGAGGTGATATGCACAAGAAAAGAAATCGACATGGGAGAAGAGTTATGACATATGGACAGAGCATGTGTAAAAGAAAAGGGTTTTTCATTAGTTTAAATCTTTCGGCTGTTTAGTAAAGCTCCCTTATTTGATCTCCTTATATATGGCAATCCCACATAAGAAACAAAATTAGGGATCATTGTAGCGGACTCAGGGTAACCCGACAGGTTACCTCTGTTTTTTTTTCCCCTCTCAACCAGACTGGAACTGCTCGTATTCCCCCAGTAACTAGATGAAACATAATTCTGGGAGTCATCTCGTTTATTCAGGCCAAGCACTCTCAATTTATACACAGACCCCCAACGGGGGATCTCAATACAGAAACATAGCAAGCCACTCCCTGGCTTCCCTGTGTCTGGGAGATAATGGAGTCAGAAACTATAACTCTACTTACAGGGAAACATACATAATATTTATACAATACCCCAAAAGTACCCCCAATAGCAACAGGAACCACACGAGTCATACCCCCGGATAACCCTGATCTGATGGCCCAACTTGGCCAAATAGCGTTTAGATCCGTTCAGTAGAATATAAACTCCACCTGGGTAAAGTTCTGACCGCCGACCACAAGGTGAAAGTCCAAAACAATTTCAGGGAAATGAGTGCAACGGCCGGTTTCCGGGGGTTCCTGTGTGATCACGCTACTAGATATTCCCTTGCTTTCAGGTGGCGAATGCTCCCTGCCAGTCGGAAGTTCCTATCTCTCGAACATCATTCGTATAGCTGGACGGAAAGTGGGACGGGCACTTTGCCGGGGTTCGTGTGGGTACAAAAAGAGTTCCAGGCACTCGATGACCAAGTACCGCTGCCTTTGTTCGGGAGACAAAATGGTCACCATCCTTTTCTTGATCACATGCGTTTGGTTACACGAAATATTGGCCACCGAGGGAAGCACTCGTTAATTATTTCCCTTGTGGTTTTGCACGAATGTTAACTACTGGTCCAAGGTTCTAATGAGGTACAGGGGTGGTCCTCGTTCGGGAGTCGAACTAAGTAAATTCGGGTACAATAACTCCCGAACATATGAAAAGTTAAATCAGTGGAAAGGAAAGGCACATTCAGCCACAGCCATCTTCTGAAATGCTGAAAGACCATTTCCTGTGTTTATTACCCCTCTTATTATTATTACTATATTACATGTTTAGATATATGGATAAATGTGGCTCTCCATCCATACACTGACCGAGCTTCTGACCCTCATACGGAATGGTTGCTGAAAACTGCTTTAGAAGATGGGAGTGTCCCTTTACACTGGTCTGTTTTAGTCTGTGACCAAAACGATCATGCTCCCCAGGAAAGACTGAAGTATCTTTTTTTTTAATTATTATTATTTATTTTATACTTATTTCAAACTTTCGTCAACTGGGTATTTCACATGGAGCATCAAGAAATAGTTTACTAGCATGTGTTCTTGTAATCCTTTCTGTAAGAATGCTTGCACAGAAAGTCACTGAACAAACCACTAGTAGTTAATAAGGTGAGTCACAGCAAGCGGATAATACCTGAACATAAAACCTAACCTGAAATGGAATATTACTGCGCCTTGTTTATAATTGTAGATTATGCTAACGCAGTGTACCTATAATCTTAATTTTATTAAGGACAGGAGGCAAGTATTTTGCATAATCTCTTTCCTAAAACTCCAGCAACACATATTTAACAATAAAGTTTAGTGAAAAAAACATTGCAACAAGGTATAAAAGGCCCCTCCCCCGTATCACTTCCTCTTTCTTTGCTGCTCCAGCCAAGGCACAGGTATTGTAATAGCTGTTTGCACTTTATTTGAACATTTGTGTATTGTTATTTATCTCCTGCTTCCTTTCTCCCTGCTTTATCCCTTATGTTGGTTTTATTTATTGCTTTATCTGTGTTTTTCTGTTTGCCCTGTGTTTCCCCTGTCACTATCTTCTCTACTGACAGGGTTCTGGGCTTCAAGGCAAGGGTACTGGGGGTGGGAGGGAGCAAGGGGGCTCTTTGCCATACCGGCAGGCAGCGATTGTATGACACTTTGTATGACAGGAAGCCCTTTGTAAAATATTTATACTAGCCATATGTATGTTTTTAATTGTATTTGTGCTCATCGATAGCTTAATAACTTGTCTTTCAGTATTTTTTAAATAATTGAAATTGCACGGATTCTTTCTAGGACTAGAGAGCAGTTTTTCAGTGCATTCGGTTGAAAATAAATTACAAATCAATATATTAAAGGGTTATCACCAGTGTTTTGAAGGGGTGATGGTGCTTGAAGTCTGTACGTGAAGCATTTCACTATGAAACGCTGTTCATACAGAGTTGAAGCCGCTTTGCTGCTGGAGCTGTAACTACACTGGGGTGTCATTTGCCATCCCAGAACAAAAGTTTAAATTCTGTGCATAAAAACAGGGCCCCACATTTGTACATCTTCAGGGGCCCAGTCAGCGCAGTGGCTGTGTAATAGCGCGACCGGGCCCCTTTAAAAAAAAA